GTCCCACTTTATGTCGAATTTGAGTGATTAATGACTTTGACCTCTGTCCCCCCGTGACCTCGGGTTAATCATTTTTTTAATGAGTTAATTAAATTGGTGTGGAAGTAGGCTATAATTTAATTACCTGTGTCCTCCCGTGACCTAGGTTAATCGATATTTGATTTAATGAGTATCAGGAGACAGAAATGGACCCGTAGCTTTTAATTCAATCAGTGACCAAGGGGCCATTATGATCTACATTTTTTGAAGCCAAGAAGTAGAGGCTAAAATTGCGATTTCAACCTCATCCACTAGGATCTGGCAGCAGAAGTGAGGAAATCCTCATTGACTCCCATGTTAAAATGCCATTTTCACCACAGAAATAAATGTGTCTACAACATGGATCAAAAACCCATTTTAGGTTTAATAGATCTAGTTTACATTCATGACAACTCTGTGGGGGATATTTTTTTGTAACTCTTCAGTTAAAAGTGGAATGAAATGCTTAATATTCTGAATAATTAATGAGCATCAGAGCCATGTGACTTCAGAGCTAGCTCCAGAGAAAGGCCTCAGCCTGAGCCTCACATTAATAGATGTTCAGCCATTTCAACAGTTTGAACTTTAGTTTTGTCTGTGTGTTTAGATGTTAATCATGGAATTATTAGGACAAAAAGGGCAAGCTGTGGGTATTGACTGCACTAACAGACCATCCAAGCAGTTTCTGCTTCTTTTTATCAGGAAGTAAAATTATATTTATGTACTTTGCTGGTTGAACGGGGGAGTGCTGTGTCATTTAACTGCTTGGTCAAACATGTTAGTGGGGCTGCTGGATGGATAAGAAACTTGAACGGATGCCCGTCTTCTGTCTCCTGCCCGAGACAAGTTGCTAGAGCAGGCAGCTGGCTGTTCCTGTTTCCCGGGTCAGACCGGCTCCCATGTGAGGCTGTGATCATGCTGGAGGACTCGTATCGAGACAATTTTTCCCATGTCAATAAATTTGATAATAAAATAATAAAAAGATGTGTGTAGGTTAGCAACATTCATGTCCTTTCAAGAAGCTGTACCACCTTGAGTCAAGTAAAAATGTGACTCAACGTAATACATGTGACAGCCTCATCTAGTGGACAACTTATGTTTCAGCGCATGCCTGTAGTTATTGTCCATATATTGTTATCGAGGTGAAATCCTCAATATATCGTGGTATGGATTTTTCTATATAATAATCAGAGGCGAGAAAGATGGGACCTTCCTTGGACATATTACAATTACAAATGACACGACAGGGAGTCCTGGCCTTTCCGATCAGCTCATTCTCCGCAATTGGAGATCAGCAGGACATTGGCTACATGCTAACCCAAAGCTAGCTGAGTTTTTCCAGGCGTTTTTAAGCAAGAAAAATGTGGTAGAGTGAAGACTGAGTCGTTTTACTGCGTTAGCATGTAGCTACAACACGTCCCGTCATGGTTGAAAAATAGTTCTAAAACGAAAGTTGAACAGACGTCTTTTTTGGACGTGAATTACACGTCTTTTGGCACGTCTCATTTGGACATTTAATGACAGTCAGTGTACATCTCATCTACACTGTAAAATAAAATGTAGTTTTTACATTTAATAATTATAATACTGTAAATAGCTGCAGGGAGAAACAGCCGGCATTCCGCGCAGCAAACAGAACCCCGAAGCCAGAGGAGAAACAGGTGGAAAACAGAGGTCTCCCGAGAGCTCCACAAGCCGATAGTCGGAACCCAGCTCCACCAACATGTTATATTTCAACCCATTTTCTAAAGTGCAGCATTATGTTAAATGCACTGGGTTTTACCCTATTACATTTAAATTTCATGTTAAAATCTAAGCTCAGCAGTGACCTAAAATACATAAATATAATTTTACTTACCGAAAAAAATGAAGTGGAGACACCTTGGACGCTCTATTAGTGCAATTAATGCCACAGCAAGTTATTTTGTCCAACAATTGCACTAAAAATACCCAAAAAAGAATACACAAACACAGAGACTCAAAATGCCGGAGCAGTTTCCAAGCCAGACCGAGGCTCTACTGAGGCCTTTCCACGGAGCTCGCTCTGTGGTCACGTGGGTCTGAGGCGGCGGTATGTACAGTCTATGTGGCGGTCACGTGTGTCGGATGCTCATTAATTATACAGAATTTTAGGCTTTTAATACACTTAAACAGAAGAGTGAGAAAAAAATTCACCCCCCTCAGAGTTGTCATGAGTGTAAACTAGATCATTTAAACAAAAAACATGTTTTGGTACCAGGCTGTAAACATGTTTATTTCTGCTGTGAAATTGGTATTTTTAACATGGGAGTCAATGAGGATTTGCTCACTTCTGACACCAGCCCCCAGCGGATGAGGGTGGAACTGCAATTTTTGGTACTTCCGGGTTTGACTCAATTTTAGAGCTCCATTGTGGGGGCTTGGTCCGACCTTGCTTTACCAATTTGCTTATCCCAGCCTGGACTCAAACACGGGTCCTAGAGTGTAAGTCTGATGACTAACCGGTTGAGCTATCACGTTGATATCTATGAAGTGACAAATAGTAGATTTTCACTTACAATTGATTCACGACATGCCATGTGTTGAACTATACCAGTGGTTCCCAAACTTATTTAGCCGCGCACCCCCTTCTATGTCCCGACCATGTCGACGCACCCCCAGCCCCCACATCAGGGCATGGATATATATATATCAGACGTCAAGCTAAACAGACAGGGTTAAAAAAATATGATCGACCTTTTTCCCCCATCACTTTCATTTTTTAAATAGTAATTAATAAACATTCGATACCATTACAATTTCCTTTGATTTAATTTTAAATAAACATTTAGAGTGCCCGGGTAGCACATAAACAATGCAATTTAACGGTTTTCTTAAAGTAGGAACGTTTAACCTGTGCGGCCAGAGCGCTCTCCTTCCTTCTGCTCTGCGTAAACCTGAACTGATCACCTACTTGTGTGTAATCAAATGTCTATAGGGGAAAATATGGAAAGCTATCCATGAGGTTCACTTTTGCCTCAGACCGACTTTTTGCTGTTTCATGGTGTGGCTGAATCTGCGATCAGCTGCCACGCGGACTGGAATAACAAATGCTGCAGGTTCGGAGTCACTGGCTGGAGCGGACTCGACTTTAATACGTCATCCCAAAATAGAAGCTAATATCTTAATTTGACCTGGAATGAAAAATGTTGTTATAAAACCTCTTAAAAGTTTTTATCACAGAGGAGGCAGCGCTCATCTCTGCATTCAGTCTGACGGCACAGCACCGGAGTTTGTGTGTGTGTGTGTGTGTGTGTGTGTGTGTGTGTGTGTGTGTGCGCGCGCGCGCGAGCTCCATGAGCCGCTCCAGTCACTGCGTGTCGTTATTGGCGCTATTTAAACCAATGTTGTAAAATTACTTCTGCCCATCCCAGATGTGCTCGCATGTGCACCCGTGAGCCGTGGTTCCGCTGGAACGTGTCTGACTGACAGACGCGCTCTGAACTTCAGATCTTCAGTGTGCTGTTAAAAGAATAATTTCTTGATTTATTTAGTTACATCCACAATGTTCTGTGTGTGAGGTTTACAATGTCAGAACACCTGCATGAGACAGGTGTTAATTACAATCTGCCAGAATGACTCGCCACCTTCAGATTTCTCCAACATCGTTAAAAATGATCAAATACGGAACATGTCGGCGTGCGCAGGCCAGAGTGCTGAAGCTCGGCGCATTGTTATTATGAAGCTAGGGCACATGCGGAGGACACACACACACGCGCAAAAATATACTTGTTTTCAATTGCATTTATTGTGCCCACTTACTTTTTCTTAGGTCCACCCACAAATGAGTTTCTGACTACGCTAATGGTGACATATGACAGACTTCTCTGAGCTCGGCAGCCATTATACTTTTCACCTCACGCACCCCCAGGGGTGCGTGCACCACACTTTGGGAATCCCTGAACTATACGCAAGTTATTGTCAACGTAACAATTATACATGTAACTACAAATCTGACTGGATTTTTAGGAAATTTCTTGTTAAATTTTTTTTTTATTTTGACCGTCCTACCACGACCATTTTAGACTGTGGACACCACGTCGCCACCGGACCAGTGTTTTGTAGGGTCCTACTCCTTAACGGGACTATATTTGGCGTGGACACGACATTGCCGTTGGACCAATATTTGCTGGGATGCTATGTTGTTGTTGTCAAAATAACAATTATACATATAACTGTAGGCATGTACAAATGTATCTGAATGGATTTTTAAGACATGTTCTGTTATATTTGTTTTTTTTACAAATTCGGGCCATCCTACCGCGACCATTTTTGGACGTGGACACCACGTCAGCGTTGGACCAGTTTGTTGGGTAGCTATTGGTTTAATTTTTTTTTATTATTCAACTGAAACAGGAACAACAGAATTCCAATAAAATACTAAAGTATAATTCAATGAATAAAGTCACACGTCCAACAAGTTATTAAAATTGTACAAAGAAACACCTTAATTTGTCAGATGTTCCAACACTGTTCTAAACAAAACAGACCCACCCTGAGCTCTACCTCTTATCCTATTTTTAACTGTCCGGGCATGCAGCCAAAAAAAAAATCAGTGGTGGGAACCCCCCATTTTTAGCTTCAACTTGCCCCCTGGCGGAGTAATGGGCAGGCTATGTTGATGTTTAATTATGTCAATGAGCGTGACCCATGAATTGAATAATCGATATGTACTGAGGATCAGGATGATCCTGCAGTAGGAAGTTTTTAATTGTCCCCATTGAGTACAGACCCCCGTGACCTATGATTTAATCATTTTTAAATGAAGATCAGGAGACTATAATATAAATGATCATGTAGTAGGAAGTAGTAAACCTCTATGAAGCTCAGAATCGATGTAAGAGGTGATCTAAAGAAGAGCTAAGCCGCGCACACACCCAGGTCTGCCTCGGTAATCATGCTGTAATGAAGCTGAAATCTGAGGAAGTAAAAGGAGCACAAACAATAGTAATCAGTTTTCTCACCTCGAATAAAAGCCGAGAGAAGATAGCCAATGTTGTCGCATTTGCACATCTGAATGTTTATTTCGGAGTGAATATCTGACCGCTTCGGTCTTCAGGGCATTCTGGTTCTTTTGTCTGCGGCTGCTCAGACATCTAAGTTTCGTTTCTGTCTCTTCTGGCAGGGCGGGAGTCTTCAATCAAAACTGCGTAGGAGGCAACGGAAAGCGTAACCAGACATCATAGACGTAGACGAGACGTGCCACTAGCATAGCAGTGGGTCGCCATCTTGGATGGGTCCACATTCGTCCCCAGGTTGGTATCCATTATTCCTATTGAGAAAGGTGTTCACCCAATTAAAAAACACATTTTACTACACTTTTTCACAGAATCATGTGGCATGATAATTGAAATAAAATTATAAATAAGTAAAAATAAATCAAATAAAAATGAATCCGTTTTTGCAGCCTACAGCATAGAAACATAAAACATTAGAAAAAAAAACAACCCTCTGCATGTCCTAAGCTCACAAATCAGGGCTCGACGACCAGTGAACAATCTGACAACGGCAAGACAGCTGGAGCACTCATGTGAAAAAATCAAAATTTGTTGAATTTTTTTTCCCTCAGTGCTCCTGCCTTCCTGTCATTTTTTATAAAAGATTAGATGTTTGTTGGATGGATGGATCTATAGGCAGTACGGCCTTGGCCCTTGAGTAATCATTTATATTATTTGCAGTGTGAATATTTTTGGTTCCTCCTACTGGGGTGTTTCGGGGAGTCGCAATGAAGTCTTGGTGAAGATGGAAGTCAAATTTGGAGAAGTGCGTTTTGTATTTACTCAGGTAATCTTTGAGGTAAATTTGTTTAGTGATCAGAACCAATTAAGTTTGACAAATAAAGGGAAAAGGAGAAAAGTAGAACAATTAATCTGTGAGAGGGCCAACTCAAATTTCTATAACTGGATAACCCAGACATTTTCACCTGAAGCACGCAAAAATATTCCCATTTTCCTCAGACACCGTCTACTTTTCCCCCAGTTTCCATCATGTAATGAAACAAGATCAACCAACAAACTGGGATTAAGTAGAAAACAAAATAGAATTTAATGTGCAAGTCAACAACTTCAATTGGATATCATTAAAATGTTGTTATACATGAGCATCGTGTGGCTCTATAAGAGAACATACATTAGATTTAAGTTATTCAGATGTCGCCCTTTGGAACAGATCACTCTCAGAGGCGGCACGCCAGTTTAGATTTACGGACGAGAAGAAAATTAGCAGCATTAACTGGAATCAAGCACATTAAGCATAGACCTGCACTCAGCACAGTGATGTGTTCTTATAAAAGGCACACCGGCCATATTAAATGATCCATGATGGTAAATCTGTCCATACAAAATCATACACACAGAATCTGTGCAGCACATACTGAGAAACAACATTGCACAATAAAAGTACACACGTGTTCAACAACTCTGCACACAGTTCCCAGAGCAAAGAGCAGGCGTTTGAACATGCTGTGATGACGTTAAAAACATTTCTCATCCAGCTGCATGAAAACACTCGGCCTGTAGGACGTGCGACTCCTCCTCAGCAGACACACACTGATGAGGAGATCTGTGGTGAGACTCATTTAGATCTGGTCAGCAGAAGGCACTTTAAAAGTTCAGCTGCTGTGTTTGAAAGTGGATCCCAGGCAGTGCAGGCCTGGTCCTCACCATCCCATGAGTCAGCAGCAGACTACTGCAGGTTTTGGACTCTTTAAGGCATCTCCCCCACTTTTGCTGGGTCCACCTCACTGAGCTCAGTTCACACTGGTTCACTGTTCAGAGCCAACATGTGTGTGTCTAGCTGACCAGGGTCTGTTTGCATCAAGGAAACGGAAAAAGATTCGGATGAGTGTTGGCCGTTTGGCTCGGTCTCTGTGGACGGTCCTCGCTCTGCCGTCTGCTCCGTCTGTAACGAGGCAGGACGGTTTGGTGATGAGGGTTTTGAATGTGAAGGTTCTTGGTGCTGTAACAAAGGTTCTAATGTGTGTGGGTGCAGAGTGCTTGGCTCAGTTGGCCTTTGTAGCCCAGTCTGTGCACACTGGCTCTGTGTTTTCTGAAGCTGGTCTGCTGAGTAATAAGGCAAGAACGGCCTCTCAGGTGCACAGGTCCGCATGGCCAGGTAGGTGTGCATGAGCAGGTGTGGAAAACGGGACGTGAAGTAGGAGACAAAGTCATCAGGGATGGAGCCCAGAGTCTCCTGCACCTCAGCAGGAAGCTCTCGGTAATGATGTTTCTGTTGAAACAGAGTCAACAATAAATCTTACAGCAGAGAAGAGCTCCTTATAAAAAACAGAGTTCCCCCTCACCTTGTTTCTCATCGCACGAAGCAGGTCTCTGACCGAACCACCCTTATAGGAGCGGAACTTCCTCAGATCTACAAAAATAACAAAACTATGGGTTTCCAACACAAAATGTCTCCAAAAAAGGAGATTGTGTTTTATGCTCCAAATGAAACTCAGATCAGAGCAACAATGAAAGCATCTAAAGCAGATGATGCATGATTTCATTCATTTCTGCTGCATGAAGTTAATAATGAACTAGTTATCAACCGATAAAACACACCGCACTAAGCTAATGCAGGCACAGTAAACACGTGCTCTGTATTTGTGCTCAGTCAAATCTTTTTTCTTTAATCAATGACTGACGGGGCAGCCTTCCTTGTCTGTTCGGGTTGTAAAGGAACTGGTTTTGCAAACAGGAAGCAATAGTTCAATATTTGTAGGCAGTTTATTATTTTTCACTTTCAGGAACTAAAACTGACGGCTACTATAAATGTTTATAGGGAGCCTAAGTGTCCTCCCCTTTCCAGTCAGCTCATGGGTAGCCTGGCCTGCCAGACTCACCCTCTGTCTATTCTACACAGAGGAGGAGTCTGGATACTCAGAGGCAGAGAGTACCATGACTAGCCAGCCCAAAAATAACCTATCAGAAAAAAGTCAGAAATAACGACTGTTTATTTATTTATTTATTTTTAGCTTATTAAGCTTTACGGACATCATATGTGAAATCCATGGCACATAACAAACAGGATTTAAAAACAGCTTTAATTGCCCCACTGACTTGAATTCAGTTTTTAGTTTTTCCAGGGACCTATGGTCCGGAAGTAGATGGGAGTGTCTTAGGCTCCCTATTATAAATACATATATGGGGAGCCTAAGTCACTTCCGCACCACGGGTCCCCGGAAGAACGAAAAAATTAATGCAAGTCAACGAGGCTAAAGACGCTATTTCCCGCTTGTTTTGTGCCACGGATTTCACATATGATGTCCGTGAATTTTAAAGACACATTTTGATACCAAGAACGTGTTTATTTTTGAACGGGGGACGATATTTTAGGTTTTGTGAGAAAATAAGTCCAGGACTACTAATGCGCTTCACAAAAATTACGTCATCGAACCAGACACGGAGAAAACTGAGAGAAATGGGCTGTAAGTTCAGCAAACTTCCCACAGGAGGAAAGAACCATCATAAATCTGGCCATGTGGTAAGCAGCAGCTACGTAAGGGAAGAGGAGATTATGTGATGACGTGCTGATTTCTGGTGTGTATTCATGCTAATTACAAACTTTTACAGGCTAATAAATCTCAACGTACGTGACTGGTGTGGTCGAAACTCCCATCATTACTTTTATTTAAAGAGCAAATCATCCCCAAATCAACTTTTTTGCTGATAAACTATATAAATGAGTGTCTAATTGTGCTGTAGACACATGTAGTCACTATTTGGCACTTTAGTGCATCTTAGTAAAAATTTAAATATTCTGCCAAAAACTGTCGTCGTGCCGTCGTCAGGTGGAAACCCTGCGCTGCATTTGAATTTAAATCTGCTATCGCTATTGGCTAAGAAGTACACTATGACTGCGGGCGGGCCTGTGGGCTTGCCGCTGATATCCCCCGGGACTCTGCTGGCTGCTGGTTGTGGCCCCCCGGGGCAATCCTCTGTGCCTCTCAAGGGGGGCAGGGGCTTTTCTGGTTACAGTCTCCCTGGGGTAAATGGTAAATGGCCTGTATTTGATATAGCGCCTTCTAGAGTCCTATAACCCCCCAAGGCGCTTTACAACACAATCAGTCATTCACCCATTCACACACACATTCACACACTGGTGGGGATGAGCTACAATGTAGCCACAGCTGCCCTGGGGCGCACTGACAGAGGCGAGGCTGCCGAGCACTGGCGCCACCGGTCCCTCCGACCACCACCAGTAGGCAACGTGGGTTAAGTGTCTTGCCCAAGGACACAACGACAGCGACAGACTGAGCGGGACTCGAACCAGCAACCTTCCAATTACGGGGCGAGCACTTAACTCCTGTGCCACCACTGTGGGGTCCCTGCGCTCTGGGGCAGCTCAGCAGCTCCTGGATCTCTGGGACTTGGAGCTCCCTCCATCTCCTACACATCATTGGGGGCAGATCTGTGGTGGCCCCTCACACTCTCTATTGGATGCTCCTATAGAGAGAAACCTTACACATACAAGCGCGTGTACACACACAGGTGCTCACATGGTGCTCTCATAAGTATGGACTTGGGCATTTTCAACACGTCTTAAGGCTGTGGCTGGCACTTAATGCACTGTGATTTATTATCATGATTGTTCAGTAAAACAATGTTGATTTTGTTCACCTCTGTCTCCGTGTCTGGTCGGAATTACAAGCATTCAAAAACAATAAAGTTTTAAGTATCAGGCGTGACATTAAAAGCAGAAGCTTTGATGCTCCACCTGAGAGTGAATCTGTAAGGCTTGTCACCAGCATTCAGACATCAATTCTGTTTGCTTCAAAGCCAGACAGGACACGGGGGAAATAAATAAATAAAAAAAGCAGTACACTATGACATTAACTGGTACATTATGATGTCACAATGCCATTGTGAGCCTGTGTGTGTGTATTTGTTAGTGGCTCCGCCCTCTCGGTCTGCCAGGCGACAGCATTTGTTGCATTTTTTCAACAGGAAGTAGGAGTGGAGTGAGACTCTGGTAGGGGGTGACTTGCTCTTTAAATTGCAGTACAGCATGTGTGCGATTCAGGGCGTAAGGCAAAGCGGATTAGAAAATAGCGTTTTTAGCCTCGTTGACTTGCATCCATTTTTTCGTTCTTCTGGGGACCCGTGAGCCGACCGGAAAGGGAGGAGACTCCCTACATCCAAGTTGTCCTCTCATGTGTTGTGTACATTAGACCCAGTCTCCTACCCGTCTGCAGCGGTACTGTGATGTGCGCTCTCCAGTCACCCTTGACAACAGCCCTCCCTCCTCTCTCCAGCTGCCTCACGATTGGTCCGTCCAGTGCTTCCTTCTCTATTCGATCACTCACATCCTGCAGGAAACCACAGAAAAACGACATCATTAGCAAACATACCAAAAGTTTCTTTGAAACTTTAGCGCTTTCACAAAGCCGTGAATGTGCCTCGCTTGTAGAAAAACACAAAGACATGAAGTTCTAAACTTTTCCATATGTCTTCAAGGAAAATGTAAAAGAAGTCCAGTCTCCTTTAATAAATAAACCTTTTGAAACTTGCTTGTGCAAAGACTTTGTAATACTCGAGCACAACAGTGGTGAGATTGTAAAAATACCACCAACCTGAAAGAACTGCAGCTCTTTCTCCAGACTCCAGAAGAAAGGGTGTTTGAGAACACTTTCAGCTGAAGGTCTTCTTTGGGGATCCATGCTCAGCATCTGTTCTATTAGATCTCTGGCTACAATGTCCACTGAAACCAAACACAAACATCTTACCTTTGAGCGCCTTGGACATGCACTGACTGGATCCAAATATACAGATTTGATTTTTTAAATAATCTCAAAAATAAATAAATACCATGTTTGTCACTCTGCAGGTAGTCGAGGCTGTAGGCGCCCAGCAGGATGTTTGCTTGTCTCTGCAGAGACTTTCCAAAGGGGTGACTTCCCTCAGATACCACGTAGTAAAAAACACAGCCAGCAGAGAAGATGTCCACCGCGCAGGTCTGTGAGAAAACGGAGATTAGTGGCACTGCTCCAAACAACAAACAGCAGAGAGGAGTCGGCAGCTCTACGGGTGACTCACTGGATTGTCTTTAGAGTCCTCACTCAGAACCTCTGGAGCGATCCAACCCTCGGTGCCCGGAACCCCAGACCTTCTGCTGAAACTGTGGCGTCCCACGGCGAGCTTTTTACACAAGCCGAAGTCTGAGATCATAGCTCTGACTCGTCCGTGGGCGTTGGGCATGGACACCAGGATGTTGTGGGGTTTGAGGTCTCTGTGGACTAGAGAACAGAGCGCTCGATCAGTAACAAGATAAACGGAGACAGTGAAAGAGTTGTGGTGCAGTGAGTAGTACCTATCTTGAGAGAGTGCAGATGTGTTAGTCCTGACATGGTCTGCTGCAGAAGAGTGACGGGTTCGAGTCCATGACGACCGAAATCCTTTTTCTCCACATACTAGTGAAGACAGCAGAAGACTATTTACTACAAAATGCAGAGTTGGAGAGAAAACTAGACCTGCTGCACATCAACAGAAAAACATGTGACGTTAAATCTACTAAGATACCCAACAAAACCATGAATCACCTCCTGAAGCGTGGCGATGCACAGCTCGATGGCAATGTACTGGAACTGCCGGTCCCTCTCGGTGCAGAAGTAGCGGATGACGTTCGGATGCTCATCAGACTCTCGGAGCAGCTGAACCTCTCGGTCTGCGAAGCTGAAGCACTCTGGGAGGATTCTCTTCACTGCCACTGAGCGGTTGTCAAAGCGCCCCCTTGTGGACCAACGATGAAACCTTAATGATGTCAAAGTGTTTTTGGACTTTAAAAGGCTAAAGCTGCTAGGACCGAACCACTCACCTGTACACAATGGTCCCCTCAGCACCATGGCCCAGGACGTGTTTGGGATGGAAAGCTATGTTGCCCACTCTGACAGTGCAAGAATCTTCCTCTAAGAAGACAACAAGTTGGTAAAAACCCAACAAAACATTTAAGTCTCAAACAATAATAGTTTCAGGGTCTCACCGTTATCTTCGTGCTCATTGGCCGAGCTTCCAAACTCCGACACGGACACGTTGGAGTGGTTGGAGGCTCGGGGGGTGACGTTAGGGCTGCTGTGGTCTGAGTACTCGGAGCGAGTGCGGGTCACCTCCAGGTAGTCGGCGTCTGCAGACCCCACGTCTGCTGGAGAGAAGGGCTGCTGCTTCTGGAGCAGCTCCAGCCTCTCCTCCATCTGCCTCTGGAACTCCTGGTGTTGCAGCTGCTGCTGCTTGTGCACGCTCTGCGGTGAGAGAGGGCGACGCCTTAACACCTTTGTGGAGTTTTAGTTTTCTATTTTGTCTCACTAACACTCAGTTATATGAATGTTGCAAACACAGTAGCTTCTTCCACATTTCTAACGTTAGAGGTCATGCCCACACCACACAGAGTTCACCAGAGTCTTACTTTGGGGTAGATGATAACAAAAGCCACCCAGCCAGCCAGAAGGAAAGTGGAGAATATGATGCTGGCCATGTCTTTCAACATAGAGTCCACAGGAGCCTCGGAACGCAGGGTCCGACCCCCGGTGCCAGGCTCCAGGATGGCTGTCTCGGGAAAACCTGCAGTAGGTCCATCATCCATACCACTATCGTTGATCTTCTAGAACAAGGAAGATGAGGGGACAGACAGGAAGACAATGAGGAAGGTTGTGATAAAAGCAGCTCGACTGGGTGTCGGATAAACCCCCGTCACCGACCTCCTCTACTTTCTTATCAGTGGTTGGTGGGATGACGTTGCCCGGGCTACGAGGGAAGCTGTCGGGAAACTTTTCCAGAATCTTTGTGTGAGCATCGGGAGGCGTCTCATGATGACCTGAAACGCAAAAAAAAAAAAAAAAAATCTTAAAAGGTAGTAATGTTTAAAAGGATCTAACTGTGAACGCCTTTTATCAAGCCGACATGTTTCCTTTAAATCTTAAAAGGATGTCTGAGACAGGTTTTGACTCAATTACAACATAAAAAGCATAACTCCTTTTTCCAATTGCTTTCTTTTTCTTTTGCACCCGCTTCGTTTAGCTCTTAACGGGGTTATTTTATTCTTTTCAACAAATTTGAAAATAATTGTAATTTTGACCTAAGTGGCTGGGGAGAGGGAAGTGGGGGCCGTTTCTGTTGGGCCGCAGCCCCCGGGCCCGACCACGGATAAGTGAAGGAACTAAATGAACAGAACTAAATAGTTCATTCAGCTTTTACGGGTTATGGGTAAGAACATTTGCTTGTGAGAACAAAGTTTCATCTGCATTTGTTTCAATAATTACTTACGTCCAGAAGAAATAAAGAACTACTACTTTGCAGTCTTGAGAGGGAAATAATCAAATCCAAACAAAAGTAATGTCTGATATCAGAGTTTAAACAACACTAAAACATTTAAGTACAGGTGAAGAGCCATTAATGCTCCAGTCCCCCCTTTTCTGAGGGACAGTGAATGCAACATGACTTAAGTTAAAGCTGGGTGGATAAAAACTAAAGAAGTCTCCTAAACTGACTTCTAACTAGTCTGATCGGCCCACTGAAGAGGGCAATTCCAGGTTTGGGCTGATTTCTGTTTTTGAGTTATTTATGACTTTACAGGTGCTGGCCAGTAAATTAGAATATCATCAAAAGGTTGAAAATATTTCAGTAATTCCATTCAAAACGTGAAACTTGTACATTATATTCATGCAATGCACACAGACCAATGTATTTCCAATGTTCATTACATTTAAATTTGATATTTATAGGTGACAACCAATGAAAACATCAAATCTGGTATCTCAGAAAATTAGAATATTCTAAAGGCCAATGAAAAAATGTTTGTTTCTCTAATGTTGGCCAACTGAAAAGAATGAACATGAAAAGAATGTGCATGTATAGCACTCAATACTTAGTCGGGGCTCCTTTTGCCTCAATAACTGCAGTAATGCGGCGTGGCATGGACTCGATCAGTCTGTGGCACTGCTCAGGTGTTATGAGAGCCCAGGTTGCTCTGATAGTCGTCTTCAGCTCCTCTGCATTGTTGGGTCTAGCGTATTGCATCCTCCGCTTCACAATACCCCATAGATTTTCTATGGGGTTAAGGTCAGGCGAGTTTGCTGGCCAATCAAGGACAGGGATACCATGGTCCTTGAACCAGGTGCTGGTGGTTTTGGCACTGTGTGCAGGTGCCAAGTCCTGTTGAAAGGTGAAGTCTGCATCCCCATAAAGTTGGTCAGCAGCAGGAAGCATGAAGTGCTCTAAAACTTCCTGGTAGACGGCTGCATTGACCCTGGACCTCAGGAAACAGAGTGGGCCAACACCGGCAGATGACATGGCACCCCACACCATCACTGACGGTGGAAACTTTACACTGGACCTCATGCAACGTGGATTCTGTGCTTCTCCGCTCTTCCTCCAGACTCTGGGTCCTTGATTTCCAAAGGAAATGCAGAACTTGCTTTCATCAGAAAACATAACTTTGGACCACTCAGCATCAGTCCAGTCCTTTTTGTCCTTGGCCCAGGCGAGACGCTTCTTGCGCTGTTTCTTGTTCAAGAGTGGCTTGACACACGGAATGCGACACCTGAATCCCATGTCTTTCATGAGTCTCCTCGTGGTGGTTCTTGAAGCGCTGACTCCAGCTGCAGTCCACTCTTTGTGGATCTCCCCCACATTTTTGAATGGGTTTGTCGTCACAATTCTCTGCAGGGTGCGGTTATCCCTAGAGCTTGTACACTTTTTTCTACCACATTTTTTCCGTCCCTTCGCCTGTCTGTTAATGTGCTTGGACACAGAGCTCTGCGAACAGCCAGCTTCTTTAGCAATCACCTTTTGTGTCTTGCCCTCCTTGTGCAAGGTGTCAATGATTGTCTTTTGGACAGCTGTTAAGTCAGAAGTCTTCCCCATGATTGTGGTGCCTTCAAAACAAGACTGAGGGACCTTTTAAAGGCCTTTGCAGGTGTTTTGAGTAAATCAGCTGATTAGAGTGGCAGCAGGTGTCTTCTATATTCAGCCTTTTCAGAATATTCTAATTTTTTGAGATACCAAATTTGGAGTTTTCATTAGTTGTCACTTATGAATATCAAATTTAAATGTAATGAACATTGGAAATACATTGGTCTGTGTGCATTGCATGAATATAATGTACAAGTTTCACGTTTTGAATGGAATTACTGAAATATTTTCAACCTTTTGATGATATTCTAATTTACTGGCCAGCACCTGTAGATGCACAAATGTGCCAATAAGCACAGACAATTACAGAAAATGCAGATCCACACATGATCCAGCAGGGGGCAGTCTCCACACAAACCTAACTGTATGTGGTCAACAGCGGTGGCACTAAAACTTCCTTCCTTTTACTCTTCATATGAAACTGTGACATCTAAAACTCCTCTTCCTCACAGAGCTGGGGCCTCATTTATCAAGCTTGCTTACGCACAAAACGGGGTCGGAAAACTGCGTAAGCAACTTTCCACGCAAACTTTGGGATTTATAAAAGAAAACTTATCGCGTCATACCCCTGTCAAAACCCGTGCACGCGCATTGGGTCCACAGCGCGCGTGTGAACGGGACTCGCGAGCGGAAATATACATGGCGAGAGGTCATTTGTGCACTGAGAGGGAGCAAACTGTGTCTGTGAGCGCACAAGGATGTGCACAAGTGACAAACCTGCGTGCGCGCGTTGTCAACGAGCACACGGCAGAGGAAAACGTGCGCGCGCGGCAGCCTCTGTGCGCGCTCGGCAGCCTCTCTGCGCGCTCGGTTTCTGACTCCTGCTCGCTCGGCTGTAAGGGTTTTGGCACTCTGGAGGCGTGGCCTGTGGCAGATCTCCTCTGTCCTCTGATTGGTTAGTGTACCCCGCACTTTACCCTCTACCTATCTATATAAAAAAGTCTACTAGTCAAGTAGTTGCTGGCATAGCTCAGTTGGAAGAGCGGGTGACTCTTGCCCCGGAGGATCCAGGTTCGAGGCCGGGCAAGGAAAATGCAGTAGATGTCATGTTAATTTTTCTTAATTTCAGGTATTTTACAGTCGTGACCGTTCAACTGTCATTAAACGTCCGAATGTTTGCTGGGCAGTGTTTTAAAAAGTGCACATAAGCTAGATGGTTTTAACCATATAAAATTACATTTTTTGTGATACTGGAAAAATACATACTGAAATAAAACTACTGATTGAAAACTTTATGACTGTGGTTGTACAATATATGACTCACTAATACACTGCAAACTCCCTTAGAGTGGGGCTTCCAGAGAGAGAGAGAGAGAGAGAGAGAGAGAGAGAGAGAGAGAGAGAGAGAGAGAGAGAGAGAGACAGAGAGAGAGACAGAGAGAGAAAAGTTCTTGCCTCATTAATGAATTGTTTATTTTTTTCAGTATTTAATTGACAAATTATCCTTTCAAATAATTAATTGATGAGTTACATAATTGTCCATTTAGAATTGTTGAATGGACTGAGTCAAGTTTGGTGCACTTTATATATTTCAAAACATGTTTTTTTTTTATTTTAATGATGCATTCTCCTTACCAACTTTTAAAATAGCCCACTAGTGAAGGCCTGGGCAAAGAAGCCTGATGTCTGAGAACCTCAACATATGTACGGCAACCACACTGTATATTTACACACTTTCATAAAGAAACTGCATATCAAGCTTTCATTCAGATGACCTTCAACAGTGCTGCACCCTGCTGAGGGACATCCGAGTAAAACCTTGAGATGGCCATTTTCTGTTCACTAACTTGCTTTAGTAAATCCTTACTTTTGTTAAATAAATCAGTTGTTGAACCCCCACTCCTCTGTTTGGTCTCCTTTCTTATTACAGCCCACCACTTCCAGTCTGGGTTGTAACAATCTGCAGACAGATTTCTGAGTATCTCCTCCTTCGGTACACAGATCCTCACTGAGCCATGTACTGTGAACAAATAGTTTCTCCATGATATTATCCAGCAAGGTCCCGTTTTTGTCAAAACAAGGGTGAGGTAATGAAAAAATAGAAATATTTCATTAAATTAACATTTAAATTATTTATATGCATCATTAAAATAAAATAAAAAACATGTTTTGAAATATATAAAGTGCACCAAACTTGACTCAGTCCATTCAACAATTCTAAATGGACAATTATGTAACTCTCTCTCTCTCTCTCTCTCTCTCTCTCTCTCTCTCTCTCTCTCTGGAAGCTCCACTCTAAGGGAGTTTGCAGTGTATTAGTGAGTCATATATTGTACAACCACAGTCATAAAGTTTTCAATCAGTAGTTTTATTTCAGTATGTATTTTTCCAGTATCACAAAAAATGTAATTTTATATGGTTAAAACCATCTAGCTTATGTGCACTTTTTAAAACACTGCCCAGCAAACATTCGGACGTTTAATGACAGTTGAACGGTCACGACTGTAAAATACCTGAAATTAAGAAAAATTAACATGACATCTACTGCATTTTCCTTGCCCGGCCTCGAACCTGGATCCTCCGGGGCGAGAGTCACCCGCTCTTCCAACTGAGCTATGCCAGCAACTACTTGACTAGTAGACTTTTTTATATAGATAGGTAGAGGGTAAAGTGCGGGGTACACTAACCAATCAGAGGACAGAGGAGATCTGCCACAGGCCACGCCTCCAGAGTGCCAAAACCCTTACAGCCGAGCGAGCAGGAGTCAGAAACCGAGCGCGCAGAGAGGCTGCCGAGCGCGCACAGAGGCTGCCGCGCGCGCACGTTTTCCTCTGCCGTGTGCTCGTTGACAACGCGCGCACGCAGGTTTGTCACTTGTGCACATCCTTGTGCGCTCACAGACACAGTTTGCTCCCTCTCAGTGCACAAATGACCTCTCGCCATGTATATTTCCGCTCGCGAGTCCCGTTCACACGCGCGCTGTGGACCCAATGCGCGTGCACGGGTTGTGGCACGCTTTAAACGCCATAAAAACTTAGCGGAAAAATGTGCACAACTTTAAGTTGACTAAGGACCTGGCTTACGCACATGTTGGACATGGAGAGCACCTGCAGTGCTGCTGCTGAGAAGGATACAATTATGAAATCCTGCAGCATTATCACTTGTACTGCTTCATACACACACAGAGCAAGTCCGCCCCCCCTCACACACACACGCGCGCAAACACACACACACACACACTGAAGCACAGAATACGGAATGCAGAATATCAGCAGGGGGACAGATTGAGACAGAATGTCATGCGTCTGTGACAGTGTGTCCTGTCACTGTGACCCTATTGATCATGTGCCCTGGCTACTTGGACAAGGGAGATCTCCATTTGGCTGACTGGTTAGCGTGCGTGACTTTCACCTGGGAGTCCGCCACAGATCTCTCTGAAGAACTCAGCATTGACGGCTTCAACGCTGTGCCACTCTGTGGATTTTCTCTTATTTGTTTTGCAAAAGCACTTCCTTTCATTTCTCCACCTCACCCACAGGTACCTCAATTTCTGCTTCTGTGAAATTGTGCTTCCTTGATCTGCCTTGATCTACGGTCGCCACGTCGTTGGCGGAGCGCTGCAACAGCCGGCTTATGTATATGCATGAGATCCACAAGGCGCTTTGCATTGACTATTTATGGCAGTAAGTGGGCGTGGTGAGGGTGGCTGTGACTAAAATGCAGCTGAGAAACATTCTCGTTAGTCTCCGATTTATGAAGTGGAGATTGTGTGCAGCTGTGCGTACTCCATGTTTGATAGATCACAAACCTACTTGGTGTAAGTGAAATTTTTTTGCTGAGCTTAAGTACGGTTTTAGTGAGGATTCTATGCAATGCTTGATAAATGAGACCCCTGATGACTAAGAGAAAAGAATTGGTGAAGATGCTGATGTTTACGTCTGCGGTACCGATTAGGAGCAGGTAGTTTCTCATGAAGTTGACCCGGTTTTGCTCCCGGAGCCCAGCGTTGGGTTTCACCCTTGTGCTGGGCGTGATGACACACTCCTTGTCCTCCTCCATCTCCTGGCTGTCGGGGCCCTCCAGCAGGGGGAAGGTTTTGCCGCGAGGCTAAAACACACACACACACACACACAATCTGCTCTCAGACCAATCACAGGAACTCTTTCCAAGAACAACTAAGTACTATTCTAAATAGTTAAGCTTTCAAGGACCAGCCACTGGAGCCGGGACACCAAGACACAATTAGAAAAAGATTAAAAAAAAACCTTGACAGGCTTACAAACATCTTAAAAAATGTGAACTGATACAGAAACCTTGAAAAAGGCAGATAAGACAACAGGAACCGACTCAACGCTTTCACACTCACCACTACGGTAACCCCATCGTGTACCAGGGAGGGAGATGCATACAGGCTGGTGGAGTATTTACCCACATATAAAGTGGCCCTGGAATAAAAGTACAACAAATACAAAAAGAATTACTTCATGGAAAAACATTGAATACTGAGCTTCGTGCTCAACTGAGCAGCTACAAAAATAAAATCCTGACAATCATGAAGAGAGAAAACTCACAAGGGCTCATGTTGTCCTGTTTGAGTTTTTCCACCAGCAGCAGGTGTGGACACACTACATAAAAACTAAGGATGCATGATATATCGCCATTGATATTGATTATTTTTTAACATATCGGTATCAGTCAGATTAAACTGGGCTGATATTAACAACCAATACTGGTCCATCTTGTTTCTGTTTGTGTATCGGTTTCAGAGGGGGAGGGGGGTGATGATGTGTAACTGTTTAGTTCTATGAAAGTGATGGTAATCATCTCAGAAGCGTAGATGTTAGCATGTATATATGTACACACACATAAATAAATAAATAATCGGCCATAACAGTGATATTAATATCATATCGGCCCAAAAGATTCCTACTGATGCATCCCTAATAAAAAGGAAACACTTGTGTGGTCTGAAGCTGGAGCGAAACCCGCCCTGGCCACAGACACGCTGACCTATAACCTGTTCTCATACTCACCGGTCTAATCCAACAGGGTCTGGGTCAAAGGCACCAAATGTTTCAGTAAATCTTCATGTTAAATCTGGGTTAGGTCTGGATGCTCTACAGATTAGGATTAGGGGAAAGACTCGCATTTATAAAAGAAGAACCCACAAAAAGAGAGCGAAGGTCTGGAATGACATCACCAGTTCACCTGAAGCACGTGACATCACTGATTCTCTGCAGGCATCACTCAGGTCTCCTCATTTTAGTGGGTTTTTTGAATTCTCGTTTAAATTTACTACTTACTTTCAAACCATTCAGAAGTTGTTCTTGTTAAAAAAAATCTTTGAAGAAAAAATTAACAGCTGATACTTATTGAATAAATGAAATTATTCTGAACGAAAACATAAAATTACATGAATTTATTGGTGGGCTTGGTTTCCTTTGGAAATGGATATTTCCACCGAGTGATGCGGCCAACCTCTCCAGACATGAAGGTGAGGTAGCGCAGGGTTTCCACGGCAACGTTGGTGTGGGGGATTTTGCGCAGACCCTCGCGCTGCCAGATGTACATGGCCACCACCGGAGAGTTGTAGTTCTGGACCCACTGCACATCTCCGGTTTCGCTGTCCACCGTCACCACCAGTCCGTCGCCGTTGGACACAAAGTGGGCCATCTCTGCAGAGACCAACACAGGACCACTGATGGAGACGGCTTCAGACCCCAAGGCTGAGCAGGAGCCAGAGTGTCAGAGTCTTACTGTATTTGGTGTCATCGTCAGGGAGGGTGGAGGCGTAGTCTGAATAAGTAGCATTCCAGCGCAGCTCCCTGCTCTTTGTGTCGTACATGGTGATTGTGTACTCTAGGGACAAAAACAGCACAAAAGGAGAAAACATTTCCATGGTTTCACTTTTGAGTCCAACACAAAAAGTTGGGTTTGAGTATCAAATCCTGATCTGGGAGCAAAGTTTAACAGAGTTGAATTTCTGTTCCAACAATGAAAAACTGAAACAAAACCCAGAAAAACCTGCAGTTATTGACAGAATCAGCCTCGACTTAGAGCGAAGGTAAGAATTAGTCAAGGATCCTCTCTGCAGGATGACTTCACAACCAACACGGTCCTTTAATAACCCCCACCGACATCAGTCAGTGGTGTTGCTAAGGTGGGCTTAGATGTTAGAGAATAACAGGAGCTACACAGTAATCTTCCAGATGTAAATGCTAGATGAGATGGGCTCAGGCGTGACTAAACCAAACTGTAGAGCTTGTTTTGTTTTTACCCGTGCGTCCCAGATAGAGAAGAGAAGATGAGGGACAGAAGACCTCAGCGAAGGAGGAAGTCAGAGTTTGCTGTTTTTCACCCGTCAGCAGATCCACCACATACCACAAGTCCTGCTTTTTACCTGCACACACAGGAAACGGTTCACTTCTGTTACTAAAGCCTTTATTTTTCACATGGAACAAACCTTTTTCCATTTCATCCTAAATGAAAAAGTCATGCATCAACATTAACTTGTTATCTGCATTTGCACAGAGTCTATAGCCGTGTGTGTGTGTGTGTGTGTCCATTATGGCGTTTAAAGCGTGCCACAACCCGTGCACGCGCATTGGGTCCACAGCGCGCGTGTGAACGGGACTCGCGAGCGGAAATATACATGGCGAGAGGTCATTTGTGCACTGAGAGGGAGCAAACTGTGTCTGTGAGCGCACAAGGATGTGCACAAGTGACAAACCTGCGTGCGCGCGTTGTCAACGAGCACACGGCAGAGGAAAACGTGCGCGCGCGGCAGCCTCTGTGCGCGCTCGGCAGCCTCTCTGCGCGCTCGGTTTCTGACTCCTGCTCGCTTGGCTGTAAGGGTTTTGGCACTCTGGAGGCGTGGCCTGTGGCAGATCTCCTCTGTCCTCTGATTGGTTAGTGTACCCCGCACTTTACCCTCTACCTATCTATATAAAAAAGTCTACTAGTCAAGTAGTTGCTGGCATAGCTCAGTTGGAAGAGCAGGTGACTCTCGCCCCGGAGGATCCAGGTTCGAGGCCGGGCAAGGAAAATGCAGTAGATGTCATGTTAATTTTTCTTAATTTCAGGTATTTTACAGTCGTGACCGTTCAACTGTCATTAAACGTCCGAATGTTTGCTGGGCAGTGTTTTAAAAAGTGCACATAAGCTAGATGGTTTTAACCATATAAAATTACATTTTTTGTGATACTGGAAAAATACATACTGAAATAAAACTACTGATTGAAAACTTTATGACTGTGGTTGTACAATATATGACTCACTAATACACTGCAAACTCCCTTAGAGTGGGGCTTCCAGAGAGAGAGAGAGAGAGAGAGAGAGACAGAGAGAGAAAAGTTCTTGCCTCATTAATGAATTGTTTATTTTTTTCAGTATTTAATTGACAAATTATCCTTTCAAATAATTAATTGATGAGTTACATAATTGCCCATTTAGAATTGTTGAATGGACTGAGTCAAGTTTGGTGCACTTTATATATTTCAAAACATGTTTTTTTTTATTTTAATGATGCATTCTCCTTACCAACTTTTAAAATAGCCCACTAGTGAAGGCCTGGGCAAAGAAGCCTGATGTCTGAGAACCTCAACATATGTACGGCAACCACACTGTATATTTACACACTTTCATAAAGAAACTGCATATCAAGCTTTCATTCAGATGACCTTCAACAGTGCTGCACCCTGCTGAGGGACATCCGAGTAAAACCTTGAGATGGCCATTTTCTGTTCACTAACTTGCTTTAGTAAATCCTTACTTTTGTTAAATAAATCAGTTGTTGAACCCCCACTCCTCTGTTTGGTCTCCTTTCTTATTACAGCCCACCACTTCCAGTCTGAGTTGTAACAATCTGCAGACAGATTTCTGAGTATCTCCTCCTTCGGTACACAGATCCTCACTGAGCCATGTACTGTGAACAAATAGTTTCTCCATGATATTATCCAGCAAGGTCCCGTTTTTGTCAAAACAAGGGTGAGGTAATGAAAAAATAGAAATATTTCATTAAATTAACATTTAAATTATTTATATGCATCATTAAAATAAAAAAAAAAACATGTTTTGAAATATATAAAGTGCACCAAACTTGACTCAGTCCATTCAACAATTCTAAATGGACAATTATGTAACTCATCAATTAATTATTTGAAAGGATAATTTGTCAATTAAATACTGAAAAAAATAAACAATTCATTAATGAGGCAAGAACTTTTCTCTCTCTGTCTCTCTCTCTGTCTCTCTCTCTCTCTCTCTCTCTCTCTCTCTCTCTCTCTCTCTCTCTCTCTCTCTCTCTCTCTCTCTCTCTCTGGAAGCTCCACTCTAAGGGAGTTTGCAGTGTATTAGTGAGTCATATATTGTACAACCACAGTCATAAAGTTTTCAATCAGTAGTTTTATTTCAGTATGTATTTTTCCAGTATCACAAAAAATGTAATTTTATATGGTTAAAACCATCTAGCTTATGTGCACTTTTTAAAACACTGCCCAGCAAACATTCGGACGTTTAATGACAGTTGAACGGTCACGACTGTAAAATACCTGAAATTAAGAAAAATTAAAATGACATCTACTACATTTTCCTTGCCCGGCCTCGAACCTGGATCCTCCGGGGCGAGAGTCACCCGCTCTTCCAACTGAGCTATGCCAGCAACTACTTGACTAGTAGACTTTTTTATATAGATAGGTAGAGGGTAAAGTGCGGGGTACACTAACCAATCAGAGGACAGAGGAGATCTGCCACAGGCCACGCCTCCAGAGTGCCAAAACCCTTACAGCCGAGCGAGCAGGAGTCAGAAACCGAGCGCGCAGAGAGGCTGCCGAGCGCGCACAGAGGCTGCCGCGCGCGCACGTTTTCCTCTGCCGTGTGCTCGTTGACAACGCGCGCACGCAGGTTTGTCACTTGTGCACATCCTTGTGCGCTCACAGACACAGTTTGCTCCCTCTCAGTGCACAAATGACCTCTCGCCATGTATATTTCCGCTCGCGAGTCCCGTTCACACGCGCGCTGTGGACCCAATGCGCGTGCACGGGTTTTGACAGGGGTATGACGCGATAGTCCATGTACACATTTTAATGAGTGAGCATCTGTACATGCAGCAGCTTCAGTTAGGTGAAACCAAACCTTTGACAGAGAACGGTGCTTTGTAGGAAAATGTGTCAGACTTCTGCTTTGTTAGGAATTCAAATCAGCTGAAGCTACAACCACAGGTTTAGTAGTAGGAGATAACAAGCACCCTCCTTTAGTGAAGTTTTAGTCTCACCCATGTAAAGGATTCCATCAGAGCTCCGACAGGGAGAAGCTTGGACCAGCTCAGGGATGGTGAACGGCAATTTCTGTTCAAGTAAAATGTATAAATAATTATCAGATGACTTTTATTTCAATATGAGCAACAAAAACTATGAATCTGTTTATTTATGTAGCGCCAAGTCACAGCAAGAGTCGTCTCACGGCACTTTACAAAGTAGACGTTGAGTTCGGTTTACTATACGTGTTAGTTAAACGTGTCTTATGTAAGGAACCCCAGCTGATAGCATCAAGTCACTGACTTGTTGTGTTAGGGACTTTATAACAACCCCCACACTAGAGATGCATGCAGCAACAGTTGAGTGGAAAACTCCCATAAGGAAACAGCTTTAACACACCGGGGCGTCCCAATAAGGATGTAGAACCATTTTTCTACAGAACAGGGAACAGAGAGGACTTTCTTAACCTTAACTTAGTTAGGATTAGTAATGAAGCCATCTCTGCTTACGGTCAGGCCTTTGCTGTTTTTCCCTCCCAGAGAATACAAGCTGCCATCGTTGGGGTCCGGCAGAAACGCTGGCCTGGTGGCACCAACACAGGAGACGGGTTAGTCATTCAAGTTATTAAAAAAAAAAAAACATGTTTTAAGAAACAAAAAGACAAGATGAGCAGGTTGGTGCATTTGTTGTTCTGATGTGGGTGCAGCAGGACTTTTAAGATACGTACTCAGCTACATGTGTGGGGACCTGAAGAACTGGATCTGTGTGAGAGAGAGGAGATGCTAGTCAGGACCGACGAGAATCTCAACCACAAATGAAAATGAGGGCCAGTGGCAGTTGAGTTGAAATGTCATGAACGTTGGTGACATTCAGCAGCGGAGGACACAGAGTCCACACAGACACAGGTTCCTCAGCAGTAAACACGAAAGGCAAACAGCCACGTCCGCTAACGGCTCTCTGTGAGTAAATCAAGCGTGACACGACAAAGATGAAATAACAAACATGACCACAAGCACCGGCATCTCAACACTTATTACTCAAACGTGAATATTCCTGAGTCCAAGAGAAATATTCTAATTAATCTTTAGACTCATTCAGTTCACCAAACTCGTCCTGCTGTTGTGTTTAAAGTAAACGTTGACTTTAGCCGTCTTAGGTCTTAGCCTGTTGCCACACCAGGCATCTAAACCAAAACATGAAGTCTGAGATATAATAGGCCACGCCCACACCTCCCACAGGTGTAAACAGACTGGGTGTGGACCAGGTGGAGCTGATCTCTGAGCCCAGAGGGGTCAACGATGGCAGGAGTTAGGTGTGGAATAATCCCACTGTGGTAAATGACTGTATTCAACCAGGCTCCCAGTCAGCGTAATTGGAGAGGATGTTGTAGAAACAAAATGAAACCTGAAATATAAATAAGTGTTTGCAAAGCCAGCGAGGTGAGACAACAGTAATACAATGTAATGTGATTAAAATGAACTGCTCTGTGCTGAGCAAAGTAACAAGCAACTGCTTTCTGTTGGTTACGTACAGTCAGGTCCATAAATATTGGGACATCGACACAATGCTAACATTTTTGGCTCTATACACAACCACAATGGATATCAAGATGTGCTTTAACTGCAGACTGTCAGCTTTTATTTGAGGGTATTTACATCCAAATCAGATGAACGGTGTAGGAATTACAACAGTTTGCATATGTGCCTCCCACTTGTTAAGGGACCAAAAGTAATGGGACAATTGGCTTCTCAGCTGTTCCATGGCCAGGTGTGTGTTATTCCCTCATTACCCCAATTACAATGAGCAGATAAAAGGTCCAGAGTTCATTTCAAGTGTGCTATTTGCATTTGGAATCTGTTGCTGTCAACCGTCAAGATGCGATCCAAAGAGCTGTCACTATCAGTGAAGCATGGTGCTGGAAGTGTCATGGCGTGGGCATGTATGGCTGCCAGTGGAACTGGTTCTCTTGTATTTATTGATCATGTGACTGCTGACAAAAGCAGCACGACAAATTCTGAAGTGTTTCGGGCAATATTATCTGCTCATATTCAGCCAAAAGCCTCAGAACTCACTGGACGGCGCTTCACAGTGCAGATGGACAATGACCCACAGCATACTGCAAAAGCAACCAGAGTTTTTGAAGGGAAAGAAATGGACTGTTTTGCAAATGGCCAAGTCAATCACCTGACCTGAATCCAATTGAGCATGCATTTCACTTGCTGAAGACAAAACTGAAGGGAAAATGCCCCAGGAACAAGCAGGAACTGAAGACTGTTGCAGTAGAGGCCTGGCAGAGCATCACCAGGGATGAAACCCAACATCTGGTGACGTCTGTGTTTCAGACTTCAGGCTGTAATTGACTGTGAAAGATTTGCAACCAAGTATCGAAAGGTATAAGTTTGATTTATGGTTCTTATTCTGTCCCATTACTTTTGGTCCCTTAACAAGTGGGAGGCACATATGCAAACTGTTGTAATTCCTACACCGTTCACCTGATTTGGATGTAAATACCCTCAAATAAAAGCTGACAGTCTGCAGTTAAAGCACATCTCGTTTGTTTCATTTGATATCCATTGTGGTGGTGTATAGAGCCAAAAATGTTAGCATTGTGTCAATGTCCCAATATTTATGGACCTGACTGTAGGTGTGTGTGCGTGTTGGACTGATGTGCAGCAGCAGGTGTGTGTAAAGCCGGGATAGAACAGTCAAACTCATATTCAGTAGCTGTTCCAGGAAAACAGACGATGTGGAGGAGGCAGCTTCTGCCTCACATTCACAGATCTGTTTATGGAGCGGACTCACACCAGAACTCACAAAGCTGACAGTAAGCCTAAGAAAAAGTCCACGTAGAACAGGAGTCTCACAAGTTTTACCATTTTGTTGATCTAGTTCACAGAGCCACTGTGAATGACTTGTGCCTTGCACGTGTTTTTCAAGTCTACCTCATCTCATGTCCTGAAGCACACAAACCATTACCACAGAATCCGTAGGACATACAGTGTGCAGAGCTGCTGATCCCGTTCCACTCTGACCTTGATTAGAGGCTATATTTGCCCCTCTGTTAATTATTACCCGCTGCCCAAGAAAACGTGGTTGAGCTGTTTCTCCGAGCGTGGTCTGCAAGATTTAACCTGAGGAAACCTTCTCACAAAACTAAAAGATCCAACCAAAATGCCCTACGGGTGTTTTATTAAAACAAAAACTAGAATGTTTAACTGCAACAGAAAATATGGAATAGTTAATTTATTATTAATGTAAATATTACAGAATTATCACTAAAAAGACTCAAAGAACCCTGAAAACCAACACTTAAGATATTAAGAGAAGCAGCACCCGACTGCTGTCGGCTCTCCTCACCTTCTTTCAGAGTCCATTTGATGGAGCCGGATTTCTTGCTGACAGCGTGCAAGTTTCCATCCAAGGTGGACACAAACAGCAGGTTTTCAGGAAGGGAAACTGTGCTGGCACTGCAAAGCCCCTACACACACACACACACACACACAATTATCCCAAAGACAGCACGTCTGATTTTTAACCATGTGACATGTTTTTACATGAAACCTCTTTGGTCCGTAAATTAGATTAGAACATGTGCACCTGCATGGAGGTGGTGAATGATAACTTAAGGCTCTAATTACACACACACACACACACACACACACACACACACACACACACACACACACACACACACACACACACACACACACACACACACACTGAAATCACAAAGATAGCAGTGTAAGAAAATGTCAGAAGGTCTGGTTTACACTGAAATGGGAAGTATTTTTATCTTTTTTCCATCGTCACTGTTGGGGTCAGACAAGGGGACTGCGGTGACTTGCTGAGGCCAAAGTGTGATTAGGGAATTTGTGCAGCTTCTTTAAATGTGTACGTATGTGTGTGTGTGGGGGGGGTGGGGGGGGGGGTGGGGGTGGGGGTGGGGGGCTACAATGAGGCACGGAGCAGAAAGCTCCAAGTACACCCTGCAACAGCGTGCTCCAACATTCTTGTTTTTGTTGTTTTTAGGGCTGCAACAAACGATTATTTGGATAATCAATGAATCGGATGGGGTCTCGACTCGATTAATTGGATTAAACGGGAACATTTAAAAACTGCTATGGAAATTTTTTTCTCTCCTTCCTTTACTTTATTTAGGGCTCGGCGATGTGGCTTAAAATCAATATCACGATATATTGAGGATTTCACCTCGATAACGATAAATAGACGATAACTACAGGTATGCGCAGAAACAAAAGTTGACCACTAGATGGGGCTGTCACATGTATTATGTTGAGACACAATTTTACGTGACTCAACATGGAACGGCTTCTTAAAGGGACATGAACGGTGCCAACCTACACACATCTGTTCATTTTTTAGTATCAAATTTCTTGACATGAGAAAAATGATCACAATAAGAGTCAGACATTTTAATAACAATACATTTTCAATTTATTGCCCAGCCCTAACCATAAATACACTACGATCAGTAAAATTTTATGTATTTCATTAACATTAGTTAAGCAACAATAGTAAGCTACTGGATATGCTAATAACATTTAATTTCTACTGCATACATTTTAATGGTGACATTTTTATTACAATTAAATTTAAATAATGTTCACAGATACACACGTTTGTGAATTACATGCTACAGTGGCTTGCCATAATCCTGCTGTGGTGTTTAGCAGAGCAGACTAACCTGACAGCAGCGGCTCTGCTTCATAGCGCTGCAGTCAGCTAAAAACAAACAGAATGGTAAGAACTTTTCTTCCGCTTGTAGAATTTAGATGTTCTTAGTTTCACAACCATCGTGAGCCTGCTACCCACTAGCATTAGCTAATCTGCTCGTAGTTGCACTTTTGATCCCAAACCGTTTCTGCCTTTGTGTCTTTGCTGGTTCCAGTTTTCCTACACACAACCTACATTAGCTCATGGTGCATCAGTAAGCAACTTACTGTTCCAAGTGTGTCGTTCCTCATCAAAACACCGGCTTTCTCTCTCGTTCTGATCTGCCTCGATCTGCTCTGTTGCCACCTACACATGAGCTGCACACATTGACTGTTAAAGGTTGCGAATCGATGACAAAATGCATTGCCAACGCATTTCGTCGTCCATTTTATTGATTTGTTGTTGCAGCCCTAGTTGATTACTGTTGTCCAACTTGGATGTTAGCATTAGCTTGGGTTAGCGTTAACAGTAGCTCAAGCTAGCATTGTTCCGCAGTTACCAGATCAACTCTGGTGTATTGCCAGTGTTGCAGTAGATTAGAAGAAGCAGATTTATGGCGGAGTGTCTGAGCTTATGACGTGTTAAACCAGCTTTTCTCAGAACAAATCATTTCTTAGAATCCAAATCAGAAGCGTTTAACACATTACTAATTTTACTTAAAGGGACTTTACGGAATTTTGAATTTTTATGCTCGCGATTGCCCCCTCAGGCCAAAAGCGTAACGGCTGCTTCAATAGGAGGCTCGTGCACGAGGCGCGCATGCTGTACGTGCACACTCCTTAACGAAAATAACAGCTGAGACAGTCCCGTGTGTGTGTGTGTGTGTGTGGGGGGGGGGGGGGGGGGGGGGACAGAGGACAGGAGAACGCGCAGCTAATTAATTAAATAATTTGGTTCTGTACCTTTCTCTTCAGCACAGCTGACAAAGGTTTAAGATGGGTCAGTCCTCCTGCATGCTCAGATCATTCCATTCCCTTGCTTGAAAAATTGTTCCAAAATGAAAGTTGAACCCACATCTTTTTTATCTGTGAATTCAATGCCGTTCGGCAAGTCTCAAATAAAAATTTGGGCATCTTACTGTAAAAAAATATACCATTAATGTAAAAAAGAAACACTAAAACAGCTATGTTTACATCCAGAATCGAACCTGGGTCTTCCGCATGAAAGCCCGAAGTTTTACTAGGCGAGCTATAGCACCAGTGACGTCTTCCGCATCTGTAACATTTATATCCTTGATGACAGCTAAAACAACATTCAAAGAATGGTTTGGAGAGCTATGCCTGAGCGTGAACGCGCATGAAGCAGCCTGCTCGACCCGAGCAGCTCTCTTTTTCTGTGATTTTACAGAAAAATAGGCAATCACAGTAAAAATGCCAGGGCTCATTCTACAGGACCAGGGCATTGCAGGAGAATGTATGAAGAAGAAATTTATTATTTCTATTCATGTTTTGGCTGTCAAACTTCCATAAAATCCCTTTAAGAAAGCAGGTGGGAGACCGTACAGACTTTTTATTATGCTACATTAGACACCCAGGTTGTCTACATTCAACAAAGTAAAAACAGTTTCCAATTGTTCTAGGACACCTTTAAAGCTCAACAAAATATAAATGACTTTATTTAGACTATCAGCTACTCAGTATTTGTAAAGTTGGCGGAGTTTAATTTATTTTAGTGTTTTCTAAAGTCATCTAGCTTTGGAGGCCATGTTGAATTTCTCAATTTCATTTAGATCTGTCCAGTGGTTCATAATGTTATTGCTAGTGAACATGCATGCTCGACACATTAAGCTGAGGGCGTCAACAAAAGAAAACACTACACTACTCCAGTAAGACAGGAAACGCAACCATCTCCGAATCATCCAGAATATCCTTTATTGGTCAAAACAATCCCTTAAACTGATGTCCTAGCTAACACACCCTGTCTGATCCCATTAGCATGTTTGAAACAGAAAACTGGTAGAGTAGCAAGAGCACTGTTGCTCTCTGAAATAAAGTCTGCTTCTGCACAGATGATTAGTAGGCTGATGGGGCTAAAGCAGCCCCATCTCAAACCTTTCACTCCTACTCAGATAAACGGGAACAACAGAACAGACATGGGAACACACGACTCGTCTCGGAGGGTTTCAGAAGCAGACCCAATGTGACAATCATGAGAGACTGAGACAGCATGTAGTAGTAAAATTAAATGAAAATGCAAAAGTTGTTTAAAAATAAAAAAAGATTCTGACTCATGACTTGGTTTCTACCCAAATTACACACAGTGGATGAAGTACGCTCCATCTAACCTCCATGGAATCTTAAAAATCCTTAAGCAACCACACACATCTTGGAGTTTTTGCACTGGTTTACAAAAAAGGGTCAAGTGGGGGATTAGAGAGATCCTGACAGCTCACCCGCCTACGAAAATCTGTACAACCTACATGTTCATTCGTTTCACTCTGACCAAATTGCTTTTAACCGTTCCATTTAAATTACATCGGTTGCATGCTCTCCTCATAGGAACTGCTAAGCTATGCCACTTAGGCTTCATTTATTAAGCTGAGACAGACTCAAGCTGACCTACAGAGCTATTGATCAGCGATGTTGACGTCCCTCTGCGCAGTGTAAACAGCCCTGTACACACAACCATCAATACTGCTGGATAGTCCTGAAGATTTAGACCCTTTATAGAAGATAAGAGAAAAAGAATCACTCGTCCACCTCCAGCAGTGCAGCTTCAACCAGAACCACTCACTCCTGGTTTCTAATTCATATCCTTTTTTAATTATTGCTCATTTTTCTTGGAGTTTGGAAAATGCTAGAATTCCGACCAACTGGAATAAAACTGATGCTAGATAACCAGCAACCCTTTGCAGTTAGAAACTATATCCTGTACTCACATCCTATACAAACATTTGAGTCACCTGCGATGGTTCCCATGAGCAGCACACACAAGTGTGCCAGTAAGAATCCCAACTAATCTGTTTTTGGCCTCGCTAACCTCTAGCAGAACTCTTGGATTCACAAACAAACAACGCTCTGAACATCTGTCAGCCTCCTGGTTTCGCACAGACACCTGGTGAATATTCTGCCTCCGTTTTCTGACATCTGGCTGCTCATAATGAATGTAATTTTGTTCAATAAAAACCAAGAATGCATTAGCTCCCAGTTCCTCATTCGGAGTGTTGCACAGAAATGTTATTGTGTAATACAGTTGCACAATAATGCAGAACAGAGTCAAAAATACAACTTGACTCTTATTCTGAGAACTTTGTTGTCTCTTTTGCAGAGAAGCCAGACGAGGATGAGAGGGGCACCGGCTTTGATGCTCACGTTATCATCGATAGCAGTGTCACTGTGTCTTGACAGCCCTCGGCTGAACACAGAACAGCTCGATTGTTGGCAGACTTCCATTATGTTTAAACAAACCTACGCCGTACCCCCCTTACTCAGTTCCACTCAGATGTTGTTAACCACAAGAAGTGGTGTGTCCTCCACCAAAGGGGGTAAAATCAAAAGGGTTTTTAATAGCAGCAGCTACCCAGATGACTTCTTATGAAGCAAACTGACTCAGGACTAGGAGAACTGATTGCAAACAGGTGGTGGTGGACTCAAAACTGATGTCATTTGATATTAAAAGTGGTGCAAAAATCTCTGAAAAGTATCAGGAACAAGCGGGTTCTCTAAGGACAGAATTAGACAAAATGACATAGTTATTGCCACCTTCAGCTTATCTGCACAAACAAGCATCACTTTGCAGCTGGTCTGGTTGCAGGCAAACCAACACAGGAACCCAGAAAAAAGGTGATCACACATCTGTTTATTTGCCAAGGGAAGTGCTCTGCAGCAACAGCCTTGAGTCATCAAAGATAAAAATCTCCTTATGGTGATGATAAACTTTTGTATTCTAAAGTTATTGAGTCTAACATTAGTGTGGATTTGGTCCTAATGCGCTTCCGTCAGCTGATCAACAATGAAAATTAGGGATTCACAGTATATCAACATCAATATCAGCTGATGTTAGTCATTTTTTTAACATATCGGCCCGATAAATTAAACTAGGACGATATTAAGGACTGATCTTGTTTCCAATTGTTTATCTGTTTCAGAGGATGATGGGGTGATGACGTACATTTGTTTAGTCATATTATTGTAATCATCTCATAAGTGTAAATGTGTGTGTTGGGTGTACATAATAACGTAAATTCAGCTTTAATCATTTTCATTCTATACAAAATCTGCTGGTTTTAGAAGCAATGATGGCAGTATATCAGTATCGGCAAGTATCTGTTATCGGCCATGACAGCGATATCAATATTGGTCCAAAAATTTCATATCGGTGCATCACTAATGAAAATGTCTGAATTTTAAAGCTAAGAAGCAAAAACACATGACTTTAGAAGTCCCCTACAGTTTCAAATGTTATGTAAATCTAAAAGCGATGAAGTACTCAAGTGTTGCTTCAAACACACTCACTTATGGTCAAATCCACTGCTGTGGTTATATACTGTATGTTTCAATCTGAACATGCATTTGTTAAGAATTAAAGAACTAAAATTGAATATAATCAGCTAAGTCTGTTGAAACGAGTGCAAACAGCCTGAAGAAAGGTGTAAAATATGAAAAGCTGTCCACACAGATGCCATTTTGAGCTTTTCGTCTGACATGTCATACTTTGAAGGAAAAAACAAGCAGTACTTAAAATAAATCAAATCAACTGTTAAGAACTGAGAGCAGGAAATGAGGGTGTGAAGAGTGTTTTCACATAGATATGCGTTAGGTAGCTTCAGTAATCCCACTACAGCTGCAGATTCACGTGTGCCTAGAAGGACTCTGAAACCAGATAAAAGAGAATAGACACTTTAATCCGCTTCCTAGCTGAAGCAGTACACTCATTCAGAGGCTCCGTCTCAAAACTTTTTAGGGTCACACTGAGTTGAAACGTTTTCTCAAAGCTAAATCCAAAATAAAAACCCTCCAGAAATCTAAGATGCTGGTGCTTTTATGGAACGCTCAGCACTTAAACCTAATAGATGACTGCAGACTGTGTATGATTATATATGTGCAGGTGAGACTGGTGTCATTAGATATGAGAATAAAATCTCTGACTTAAGCTTCTTAGCCAACCTGTAGTAAATGTGTATGAAGCAACAAGCCAACCACCACGTGTAGCGTCTGCAGCATGCACGGCTCACAACCAAGCATTTGTTTGCACCACTGATGCAGATAAGAAAAAACGAGTTAAATTAAGAGTTGATGGGAAATCTCATCACTAAAACTTCTAAATTGCTGAGATTATGACATACTGATTATAAATAACTGGTGTACAAACTGCATCATGGTGGTGATGGTGTGGTCTAATAAAGTGATCGATACCTAGTGATCTAGTTTTAAATCATAATGAAATAAAAGCATCAAAAGCTGCTGCTGCTGCTAAAGGGAGATGGCTGTGATTTGTAAACATTGGGGCCAATTACATTTGATTACATTAAAACTATCAAAACTCGTATCGAGAGTTGTGGCCTTCTTTGGTCAGTTTTTAAAAACAATAGTTGGGAATTCCGTCTGAGGCTGACTAATATTGACATTTGTGACTATCTGAACTCTCTTGTCCTTGAAGTATAAGAAACGTTGAGATAAAACTTCAATGAAACTGGGAAATCTGCACAGGACCGGAACAACAGGGTTTCCTGGGTCACAGATGTTCAGGTTTTTACTCGGAACTTTTGGACTCCCATAATTCTTTAAACTAAACCGAAAAAAAGCAACTTGATTACTTAAAAATGTTAATTTTAGTGTTCATAAAGGTGAAAAAGACTGGTGTTAGCATCCTAGCTAACGGCTAACACGCGCCAGAATAAGAACGTTTAGCTTCGGCAAATGACAATTATTGTTATATTACAGCGACCGGAGACGCAGAATCAGTCCAGGTTTATCTAATCGCGCAGCAACTTCAGTCCAACGTCGTTATCCAGTTAGCCCTCTTACCTGCTGTGGGAGACCAGCGCAGCAAAGCAGCCCTAAAACGCAGCACATCAGGACCTGATTGCGCCCTGGCCAGTCCATATTATCGGGTCTCAAACCGGGTTAGATGGCGGGGTAGTCCGAGCCGTGGGTGGTTACATAGAGAAAACGCGATTTGTCTCACAAAAATAAAACTATACAGAGGTTTTATCACTGTTGTGGCGTTTAGAGGCAGCAGCGCTGGATACAGCGATGCTTCTTCCTGAAATTAACGCCGTGGGGGTTGGACTTTGGGATTGATATCCACAAGAGTGGAGGAGGGGGAATGATGTAAGGCAAGCTGTTCTTACATCTAATCGGATATTTTCTTGTTTTGTAAAAAGCGGCTGCATTACAGAAGTGTATAAAGGAGCGTTATGGTTAGTGAGGGAAAAGTGAGGAAACACCAAAGATCTACTTCAAGAAAACGTTTTAAACAGTTATTTGATTTTAAAAGTCTAAATTTGAATGATTCAAGAATAGCTGTAAACGCACCTGAATCCAACAGTATTCATCCTGTGCATTTCATTTTGGCTACGTAATTCTAAGTTTTTTTTAAAGAGACGTTTTATTGGATTTCATTTATTTGAAATTCCTATATTTCACATTCAGTCCTTCACAATAAGAGTCTCAAATATTCACACCAGCCTCAAAACAACTGAAACATACAAAATGTTTGAGTTTTACTGAAGAATAATACTTAAAAAACAAATGTTCAAAAATTGTGGGTGTTTTAAAAGATACACATGTATGTTTACTACTTTTATTGTGAAGGTTTGAAGAAAGTTATTTGAATTTCCCTGCGGACATTGCTGTAGAAGTATCCAAAAGACTTCATCTTCACTGACAAAGTGGCAGCTATAAGCAAACTGTTTACTCAGCTGGCCACTCCTGAACATTCACTACCACAAACTCCTTCTAGCCCAACCATCTCAAGCCCTACTGCTTCATTTTCCTCTTTTTACTCTCACTGAGAACTGTGTGTCCAAGCTTCTCACGTGCAGCCGCCCTACTACATGCCCATTTGACCCCATTCCGACTAAGCTGCTCCAAGCTACTGCTCCTACAGTAGCCACAGTAGTCACACATGTAATCAACGCTTCACTGACATCCGGTACATTTCCCACCTCTCTCAAGCATGCTCAGGTTAAACCGCTGCTAAAAAACCCATCTCTTCCTCCTAATCATGTGGAGAACTACCGACCTATCTCTCTCCTCCCTTTTCTGTCCAAAATCATTGAAAAGGTGGCTTTCTAGCAGATCACAGAATACCTCTCACAAAACTGTCTGCTTGACCCTTACCAATCTGGGTTCAAAAGGGCTACCCCACTGAAACTGCTCTGTTGGCAGTGACAGAATCCTTAAAAGAAGCCAGAGCGACTGCCAAATCCTCAGTGCTTATCCTACTCGACTTATCGGCTGCATTTGACACTGTCAGCCATGACTTCCCTTTGTCCACACTCTCTAGCATGGGCATCACAGAGAAAGCACACGCCTGGTTTGAATCGTACCTCACAGGATAATCATTCAGTGTATCTTGGCTTGGACAATCCTCTACCGTGCACCATTTTGCCACAGGAGTCCCCCAGGGCTCTGTACTAGGACGTCTTCTCTTTGCCATAAACACCACCTCAGTGGGTGGGATCATTCGATCACATGGCTTCTCCTACCACTGCTATGCACACGACACCCAGCTCTATCTGTCATTTCCACCGGACGACCACACCGTCTCTGCACGAATATCAAACTGTCTCTCTGACATATCAAAATGGATGAAATCCCACCATCTCCAACTCAACCTCTCTAAAACTGAACTACTTGTCATCCCAGCAAAACCATCCATACAGCACAATATCTCAATCCAAAATGACTTCCTATCTCTGGCTCCTTCAAAGGCAGTTCGAAATCTGGGTGTTATGATTGATGAACACTTGACCTTTAAAGATCATGTTGCCTCTGTTGCTCGTTCATGCAGCTTTACGCTGTATAACATATGAAAGATCAGACCATACCTAACACAACATGCCACCCAGCTCCTGGTGCAATCTACTGCAATGCCCTTCTATCTGGTCTTCCTGGCTGTACTGTGAGACCTCTTCAAATGGTCCAGAACGCAGCGGCGCGTCTGGTCTTCAATCAGCCAAAAAGAGCACACATCACCCCTCTGTTCATTGAGCTCCACTGGCTACCGCTAGCAGCACGCATCAAATTCAAATTGCTAACACTGGCATACAAAGTCCGAGATGGTATGGCTCCCATCTACCTGAATCCTCTTGCAAAGGCTTACGTCTCGGCCCGGCCGCTCCGGTCATCACAGGATCGTCGGCTAGCAGTGCCTACACCACGCTCAGGACAATCCAGACTCTTCTCATGCATCGTTCCACAAATGTGGAATGACCTTCCAAGCACTACCAGAACAGGGGCTTCCTTTTCAAATTTCAAGAAACTCCTGAAGACCCTGCTCTTCAGAGAGCATCTTCTAAACTAGCACCCTCCCTGCACCCGTCCCCCCTCTCTACTGTCCACTCCTTGTTCCCTCCTCTCCATGACTGATGTCAATGTTGTTGTTGTTATTGATGTTGTTGTTGGCTTCAAGGGCAAAATGCCGATTATCACTTGTAAGTCGCTTTGGACAAAAGCGTCTGCTAAATACATAAACATAAAAGTCTTATAGTTGACAAAATGTCTCTTTTTTCTTTTGTTTTATATATTGTTGTCCCCCAGTGGCATCCAGTCCTGTTTTTCATATATGCCACTATCCAGCACATTTTAAATGTATGCCTGCCCTAAAACATCAGATTAAATAGTTGAATCATCAGTTCAGCAAGTATTCAGTTCCGAAAATGCCTGTTAGTATTCTGCCGATTAAAATCAGGGTTTTGAACTGTAGAAACCTCATGAGCGATAGGGCCATTGAGGACCATGGCTGGACACCACTGGATCGCTCAGTAAAAACACACTCATAATCCTTGGTAGCAACAATTATCGACAGCTTCAGGAGAACAACAGAATTTACTTCCTTGGGATATTATTAAATAATTTTTTCTTGTTTTTTTTTCTTTTTTGCACCCAAAATTATTCAGCTTATTCTTGAAGAAGTAATTCAGCTATATTTCTAAAATAATTGTGTTGAAATTTTGACTTGAATCAAATAACAGATCTCGTTTATTTAAATGTTTAATTTTAAATTGTATTAATATACTAAACAGAAACCATAATACCACATTCCTTGTATGTGTGCTTTGTTGCTGTACTCCTAATTTTCAAACACCTCAAAAATCTGCATCTTTTTCATAGTTAATATATTTATGTTAAATCCTTTTTTACTGAAGTTCAACATTTTTCAAAATTATTATTATTATTATTTTTATACTACTATTACTACTACTACTACTACTACTACTACTACTAATAATAAAAATAATAATAATAATAATAATAATAATAATTATTATTATTATTATTATTATTATTATTAACAACAATAACAATACCTCAATAACAAGAGCCCATTTCAAGCAACAGCAGCTATTGTTGCACATCGGACGCCCTCACTTACTCATTCCCTAACACTTATTCCTAAGCAGGACCACAGGGAGCGGGAGTCCATCTCTGGCAGTTATCAGACAGGAGATGGAAGATGCTCCCAAAGCAGATCACCAGTCCATCACTTGGACAAAATAATGGAAAAAAAAATGTTTGTATTCCCGGAGTCAGAATGACATCCATACAGGTCAAAACTGAATTCTAAATTGTCTCAATTACTATTAGTAAAAGTATACTGTAAGATCTACCTGACTGGATTTTAATTTGCCCAAAAATATTTAAAAATTGTTGCAATGAAAGTCCTAATCTGACTATTATTTGATAAAATGGCTTTCTAAACTGGGTTGGCTCTCTATGGCCAATCAGAGCAGCCCTGTTGTCACCGGATATGGTATAAAATGAACCATTACATCCGAGAGACATTTTCTTCTTACAGCTCTCGTAGTGAGCGTGTTAGCTGAAATTACTCTCCCTAAGTTTCAAAGCCTCGTTTTTGAAATGCACTCTAAGCTGTTTGCGTCTATATTTCTCTGTAAATATGGTTTTACGTGACTGCTTGTGTGACTCCGTAAAATTTGCGCACTTAGAAAAGACTCAAGACTGCTCACGTGGCATCCGCGTGGGCAGAAGGCCTGTTCTGGTACAAAGGTAAGAGACGTCAAAGCGCATTAAGCTGTAGTTTACATACATACAAAAGTGTGATGTTCTTGTGTGTTAGGCTCATGGCTGATGACCTTTGATGCGTTAGACTTCTGATTTAAAAATGAAGTTAACCTTTCGATCTGACATGGCGTCACCAGCATGAGTCCGCAAACGTTTACAGTAACCAAACTGACCCAGACCCTTTGTGTTTGTGCAGGAGCTGCACCTGGATGATCCCAGCTCTAACAGTAAGGACCTGATAAACTCCTAATTGAACATCTAACCAGATTTGATTGTAGAAACTTTAATAATTGACTTTTTTTTCCTTTGTCATTCCAGGTTGTTCTCAAGAAATGGATGGTGGTACCCTGACCTAATAGTCTAAAATAAATAAAAGGGCTTTAACAATAAAACCTTTCTGCCTCATTATTCTTCATTTTACTATATATCTGATGCACTTTATGACGTGGGATGGCATTTTCCCTGCCAGCTACCCAGATCAAGTTAAGTGCAAGATTAAATAAGTCTTGTCATAACTGGGGTCTCTTAGCAATTTCCCTAAGTTTCCCTTTTAAAGCAAGACATATTTCTGAAGACAGTACAAATGTTAAATCCAAGTTTGCATGGGAGTTTTGGGTAATGTCTGATAAATGTATTTAAAACGTTTTAATTTAATGCATTTAAGGTTTAAATGGGTAAAATGAAGGGGTCCATGATGGCAATGCTGGACCTCATTGACCTATGTGAAAATCTTTCATGTGAATGGAGTCAGTTAACCATTTGTTAAAGACTAATTTGGTAGAAATACGTCTGTGAGGGCGCACAGGGTTGGTTAGCATTTCTCCCATAGATATTCATATAAACACCTGTTTATGTACATATCTATGGTTCCTCCTAAGTCCATCCCAGCGGTGGGTGGGATTTGAGCAGGTGAGTTTGACCGACTTCCGGGAGGTTAAGATGAACAACTCTACAGAGACTTGGCTCTCATCATTCACTTTGAAAATCCGTTCAAAAGATTCGATTCGTTCGTGAATGTCACATCACTAAAGAACTCAACTATTGTACAAGATGGATCTCAGACATTACTTAGGTGTGCTTAAAGACAGAAGTAAAGCAACATTTGATCCCCCTTCAAGTTTCAAAAGCTCTTAATTTTAGCAAAGAGTTGTACAGTAACTTCTAGCGCAAAACGTCTGGGGGAAATAAACAGGATTGGGCTAAATAACCCCCGAGAGCCAGCCCTGCTTGCTAACAGCTAGTTACTTTAGTTACAAAGTACCTTGTAAAAGTTGAGATTTAAATTGCTGATACCTACTAGTGCTGCAAATTATTTGATAATTCAGTATTCAAAAATACAATTGAAAGGTTTTTTAATTATATGCTTAAACTACAATTAAATGATAAAAATTAGTTTAAATTGCAGAAACACTACCTGCCTCCAGGCAAGACTGAAACTCATCTGTTGAGATCATATAGTTGTTTCTTTAAACAGACTGTTTAAAAGGCTGACTATAACATATATGACTAATTACTCAAAACCTTTCCACAAAAACACTTCAGAAGCTCTGAACTGCCCCTTTAATTGTTTAGGTGCATAAATTTCATAACGGCAGACTTTTATCTCAAATGACTAAATTCAGTGGTTAAAATGAGACAAAGTCTGCTTTTGCAGTTTCTGAGTCTATAATGTTCAAAACTGAGACTGCAATTAAATTGTTGCAAAGCATCAGGAGATTTCAGGTTTAGAAGTTAGAAATTCTATATTTTGATTGAAGCCTTTTCAACTTTCATCCACATCAATTGAAAAGGTGAGTTAAAACAACTTTCACCTCAGTTTGAATAAAATGTGGACTTGATGGTCTAAAGCAGTGGTTCCCAACCTTTTTCCCAAGGGACCCCTTTTTTACCAGTAAAATTTTTGACGACCCCCTCCCATTCTCTCTTCCAGTACAAACAGTATTAAGAAATGATAAAATTGTTTAAGCACATTTTAATATGCTTTGATTCAATAGATAACAGTAATAGTAGGCTCCAGTACAGAACAAAGTCATTAACAAAACCAAACAGAGCATAATGTGCTTAACAGCTTGTATTGCTTTTCTGAACACATTGTTTCTTGTAAACTGATGAATCAATCATTCCTTTCAATAAACGTTTGACACATAAAAATACACTGAGCAAAATGTACTTAAATGTGTATATTACTGTTTATACTAGATTATTTACTGTAAAGGCTGTGATTAGTCAACCAGTCCTATCTTTAATGAACTTTTGACACTTGAAAATAAAACAGTGAGCTGAGCAAAATGTTCTTAAAAGTGTGTTACTTTTTCTGTACTAATTATTTCCTGTCTTAATATCAGTAAACTTTTCACTCATGAAAAAAAAGTGAGCAAAACGTTAGCTATAAACAAGTAATAAATGAAGTTTTAACCCCTTAAGGTCCTGGCGACCCACTGAGAGGCTTTGGCGCCCCTTGTGGGGGTCGGGACCCCCAGGTTAGGAACCACTGCTCTAAAGTAAAAGGATTTCTGTCTTTTGAGACAACCACAAAGATGCACGTCTTTTATTTTCCAAGCAAACAGTTTTATTAATCCACAACAAACAGCAAGAACATTCTGCAGTTTCACCGAACAGAACAGAACAGCAATGTCCAACATCATCACTGCAAATGAAGAGGAAAGAAAACCAAAGAGCAAGTCTTAACGGACGGTCATGGCACAGACATTCCCTTTACTGATTAGAGAAACGAGGTGGCTCATCATGAAGGAATGTTTGATTATTTCAAAGGCACTTTCTGCCTCACACACACCTGAACGTCTATAAAGTCATCTCTGGAGCTGCTGTGGTTGGAGATCATTGGTGGTGTCGCTTCTTAACAGTTACAACATAGAACAGCAAATCAATAAATAACCCAACAGCTGTAACTGCAGACAATAAATAATATGGCTAAGATCCAGAATGATGCCTAAGTAAAGTGGATCTATTTGACCAACAGATGGTGGAGTTTGAGATTTTCATCTCCCAGCGTAGTAAAAGAGCTGGCTGTATGTTGGAGAGCAGAAAGTTTGAAGCGATTGCTTTACCCGTCACTGTAAACTTTGGCAATAACAGCAACGTTTTACTTTTATTCAACTCTAAAAATGGCTGAAATATGTTGCTTAGAAGCACGTCGACTGAGCTGGCATACATTCCACAAACCTCAAGTCAGTTAGCACTAAGACAGACTGGTTTGCATTTACGCGCCAGGCAGCAGAGTGTGTGATGGATAAAGGCGGTGATATGTGCTTGGGCCCTTAGCTACAGTGCTGTAAAAAGCATTTGACCCTCTACAGAGTTATAATGGTTTTTTTCCCCCTTTTTTGTCACTTAAATGTTTAGATCATGTAAGATTAATTAAAAAATTTCTGTCCCAACCAAACTGGCTCTATGAGAAAAAGGGTTTGCCTCCTTGCTGAGTCGTGTATTAACTGCAATACATTCTCTGCAAAACTGACTTTGGGTCCACCAGCCACACCGGATCACTACCAGACACGTGGAATTACATCATTCAGTACAACCGGTCTGAAAACACGTAAGCTAAAAGATCTCAAAAATAAATACAACAGAATAATCCTGAACATGTAAAGAACTGCAGATCTCAATGGCTTGGGTTAAGGTCAGAAGTCATGATGAATGGCCTCCAGGTCAAGTGTGCCCAGGACAAAACCTTTGTTGTCTCACGTTTACTAAAAACACGTTCGTCGTTCCCAAAACTTCCATCCGTTTTCACTTATTTATCCAAGTACGGGTTGCGGGGCCTGCAGCTCCAGCAGAGAGGACCCAGTCGAACCCCCCCCCCCCCCCCCCCCCCCCTCCCTCCCGCAACAGTGTCCTGGGTTAACCCTGGGGTCTCCTGCCAGCAGGACATGTCCCCTGGAAGGTGTCCAGGGGACAATCTCAATACCCAAACCACCACACCTCGACATGGAGGAGCAGCAGCTCCACTTTGATTCTCTCCCAATTGCCGAGAGTTTGGAGACAATATGGACAACAAAGAAAAAGTGAAACTTTTTAGAAAAGTGTGTGTCCTGATAAAATTAACACTGTATTTCAGAAAAATATCATCAAACCAACAGTCAAACATGGTGGTGGTAGTGTGATGGTCTGTAGTTGATGTCTGACCTTTGACCTCCTTGCTGGAAAACCCTCCAGAGTGGCTGAATTAAAACAATTCAGTAAAGAAGATCAAATCCCTCCACAGTGATGAGGGACTCGTGACTAGTTCTTACAAACACCTGACTGCTGTTGTTCCATCAGAGCGGTTCAATCAGTTATTAAGGGTCAAATACTTTCCACCTATTATCAGGCTGGTTTGAACAAATAAATGAAATCCTCATTGGAATCTGCATTATGCTCAGGTCATCTGATGTTGAAAGTTGTGACAAAAAGGCAGAAACAGAAGAAATCTGCAAGTGAGCAAATACTTTTGCACAACTATAAATTACCAGATGGTGGTGTTGTTCCCTTAATGCTTGTACACATTCTTCATCAGTGGCAGCAGAGTAATACTAATGTAGCAACAATACACACACACACACACACACACACACACACACACACACACACACACACACACACACACACACACACACACACACACACACACACACACACACACACACACACACACACAACAAATAAAAAACGAGATAAATTATGCTGTACACACATCATGTTTGGTACAGCTGTACATCACAGGTATTATGGTTCCTCTAGCTGATGGAGATGGCTATTGGCTGATCCACCATGTACATGTTTGTGTCTCTCCACACCCCAGGAGTTGTGTTCGTTCAGAGGAGCTCAGTGTTAGAGAAAAATGTGATCAAATGAGAAATCCAAGTCACACTCCTCCAGCTCTATTTTTCATGTTGAAGATCCATCTCATAACTTGGGAATGTTGATAAAAATCGTCTGTTTCTGAGAGGCAGGAGGGGTTTCTTCTGTGGTAAAACATCACAAATCATAGCTTTCATACATCAGACGGCTCCGACTCCTGCGGCTCTGGATCCTTCAAGTCGTCATTCGTCAAAGTCACCAAGTTGGCGTTTGAGCGCGTATCCATGGCAGAGTGCATTATGGGTAGCCATATGTCATCCATGTTTGGCATCACAAAGATTTTCTACAAGAGAAGAGAGAGTTTTTAAGGTTGCTGTGTGTGTGTGTGTGTGTGTGTGTGTGTGTGTGTGTGTGTGTGTGTGTGTGTGTGTGTGTGTGTGTGTGTGTGTGTGTGTGTGTGTGTGCCGGGGGGTTGCAATAACACACACAGAGGAGTTAGGCAGAGATAAATGTGGACCTCACAGGGACTCTAGGCTGACAGGTGTGCATCAGACGTGATATCACTGTGAAAAAGGCACGTGTAGACTCTGCTTTCAGATAAATCTTCATCCTCTCTTCGTGATGAGGAAAGTTTTTACTTCAAAGGTCGTACCTGAAACTCCTGATCCAACTTCTTCTCGATCCACTCGGTCACATGGACCAGAGTGACCTCCCTCTCACCCAGTTTAGGTCGTGCTCTCAGCTCCAGGTGAGGAGGACTCCTGAAGCCGTACCTGATGATCAAGAGGACACGGTGACAGGAAGTATAACGGGTTGGAGAAAGGTCAGGTTTTCATGATTTAGAGTCTGTCTAAAACACTGAACATGTTGTTTTTACCATCGGTGGGACATGTCATGTCTGACAGGGTTTCTAAGCCTACAGTTGTTTGTGATTCACAGGTCGTTTTGTTTTTATTAAAAGAAAATTCTTTAAAATAACTGCAAGACAATAAATAACAAGAGTGTCAACAGAAGAAGAGTTGCATAACAAAACAAAGGTTTACAGAAAATCTGTTTTTCATTGATAAAAGTAAATCATCTTTTTATTAACTTTTCAGACAAAGTCGACGTGTAAAAAGATAAACCTGCTTGCAAATGATTAATCCCTTATCTGAACGGATCACATTTTATCAGGGCAAAGCTACAAGAAACTGATGCCTCAAGATGTTATCTCCTGATTGTATCGGCACAAACACAGATCCGATCGGCCTATTTGGCTCTGTCGAGCGGCCAGATTCCCAGATCTGGACTTTAGAGCAATATGAGTCCCAATTTCTGGCGGAATCACAGTTTAATTATAAATATTATCCCCCCCCAAAAAACCACTTTACAACAACAACAGGTTTAGTTGTTCTTTAAACTGGTCTACACCTAAAAGTTCCTAAAGAAGGGGGCCAGATGGGGCCACTGATGATCATTACCAAAACGTCCTGACATGTTCATGTAAAAAAAAAAAACAGAAATTAAAACAAAAACTAAAAGATTAGTTTCTAACTGTCCAGGTGGCTGTAGTGCAGTGGTCTGCAAATGGTGGCCCGCGGGCCACGTCCAGCCCGCAAGCCCTCTCTTTGTGGCCCCCAAACCCCGCGCGCACCCCCCACCCTCGACGGCCGACCGGGAGGTGTAGGACAGAGCTGAGGAAAATAATCAAATAATCAATGCATCGAGGTGCGGGCATAAATGATTCTGCATCATAGAAGAGAACCATAATCAACTATGGTGGAATGTAGTTTTGTTATTTTAATGGCGGCACCAGCGTAGCATCCACATCTGTCAGAGCGGTGTTCTCCACATTTACCGGGTAGGAAACTTTGATCTGCCTTTATGTGGTTCTGCAGGGCTGAGCGCTGGAGTTATAACCTGAGACCGAACCCGAATCGAATCAGCCCGACCGGTTCTGTTGGATTTGGGCCGTAAATTATGTTAATTGAGCGGGTTGTCGCGTGGTGCGCTTCGCTCGATCAGCGAGTGAGAGAGAGAGAGAGAGAGAGAGAGAGAGAGACAGAGAGAGAGAGAGTGAGAGAGACAGAGAGGGAGAGAGGGTCAGAGGACGCTCCTCCAAACACGTGTTATTATTTTCATAATTTCATTATTGTTTCTCCTGGAAGCGCTCAGTCAGACCGAGTGCTGTGATGTCGGGAGGTCCGGTCTAGGGGAGGGAGCGGGGTCAGTGACGGCGGCTGCAGCGTAACCATCTGTCTCTTTTATTTATTTATTTAGGGACATGGAGAAGAGAGAGAAATAGAAGATGGAAGTTCTTGTTCCATTTTATTCTTTTGTTTCATGAAGATAAACTGATGTTAAATTCAGCTTAAGGAGAAACTGGGAGGAAGCTCTGGTTCATTTTAAGTTACAGGAGATCTTGTCTCCTATCTGCTCCTCCAGAGACAGCATGGGGGTTACATGGTGAGGGTCACACAGGACAGGTTAGTGCCGTCACACAGCCGAGCTGGAGGGGGACAGGTGTTGTCCTGCTTTATATTGCAAGCTTGTGTGTTATGTGCATTACAGCCCAAGTGTGCATCTCCCTCCGGCCCTCTTGCTTCTGGGTCTTTTTTGTGTGTGGCCCTTGGACCATTATAATTGAGGACCCCTGCTGTAGTGCCTCCCTTAGGGGTGCCACTGTACAGAACAACGCTCCACAAACGGTGACCCGAAAAAACAACCTTAAAAATGTAGGATATTTATTTATGTGTCTTTCTGTCCTCTTCAGTACAATTTATGGAATTAATGAGTTTAAAAATGCACAAGAGGTTTAAATAATATTCCCAACAGGGCTGCACAATATTAGAATCAGAATCATAATATTTTGAATTATGACTGGGCAGCCTTACTTCATAAAAGTGTGAATTTATAGGTACTAGAGAAAAGCTCTTAATAGTATATAAGTAATACTGTTATATTTAATGAGTTTGGTTGGTGATAGGATTTGTTGCTTGTAGTAAATTCTGTATCTGGCCAGCAGAGGGGGCACTTTTCCACTCTAATTGCCCACATAAATCTGTTTCTGGCATACTCACCATATCCTGTCTGTGGGAGGAGGTGGGATGTTGACAGCCAGTGTCCCTCGGCACTCCTGCACCTCCACGGTGAGCAGCAGGGGTGTGTTGGATACCTCCTCCATCTTCTTCTTAATGAACTCCGTCTCCGTGGCCTTCTGGAAGTATTTGGACTTGGCTATCTTGTCCACAAGGCGCATGATCTTGCTGGGTCTGTGGCCTCCTACAAAGCTACGAGAGCAGAGGATGAAGGAGGGAGGCGGGTGAGGAGTGAGTCAGGTTCATCATTTATTCATAACTGCCTCTCTTGCTACTCAGCACTGACGATGGAGGAGCAGGAGGAGGAGAGAAGGGGAGAGAGTGATGCATTAAATCAGCAGCAAGCCTTCAAACGTGTGGGGCAGAGTGGGTGGATGGACCTCGGGGGCAGAAGATTCTGCTTCAGCACATTAGTATTAATCTGATTCTGACCGTCTTCAGTTCAGGTACGTGCCGATGCTCTAATGAGACACTGGCTCACCCTTCAGATGCAGGCAGACTGGGTTTGTCACTGAGCAGTTCAGGGGGATCCTCCTCATCTGATGAGCCAGCGCTGGATGACTCCTCATCACTATCTGCCAGACAGTACGTCCTTGGCCTGGACCTGTCCCACACACACACACACACACGCACGCACGCACGCACGCACGCACACACATGTTGAAATCACAAAGATAGCAGTTTAAGAAAATGTCAGAAGGTCTGGTTTACGCTGAAACAGGAAGTATTTTTATCTTTTTTCCATCGTCACTGTTGGGGTCAGACAAGGGGACTGCGGTGACTTGCTGAGGCCAAAGTGTGATTAGGAAATTTGTGCAGCTTCTTTAAATGTGTGTGTATGTGTGTGTGTGTGTGTGTGTGGGGGGGGGGGGGGGGGGGTCTACAACGAGGCACAGAGCAGAAAACTCCAAGTACACCCAACAACGTGCTCCAACATTCTTGTTTTTGTTGTTTTTAGGGCTGCAACAAACGATTATTTATTACACACACACACACACTCACACACACACACACACACACACACACACACACACGCACGCACGCACGCACGCACACACACACACACACACACACACACACTCACACACACACACACACACACACACGCACGCACGCACGCACGCACACACACACACACACACACACACACACACACACGTCATTGCTGCAGAGTCACAAACTTTGCACAGAGCGTTTGACAAGCAGAGCTAATTCCTATTAAATCTACAGCAACTAAAAGAAATCACAGGCACTAAAGCTCCACCGATCCACTCAAAGTCAGGTCCAGCAATCCAAATGCAAAAGAAAAGTTGTTGCGTTGGTAGCAGGCAGTCCATTCCCAGTAACTCACCAGTCATTGGACAGATCCGTGATTGTAGGCGTCCGAAACAGAGGCAGGATTAGTGTGTGGAGGGAGGAGGAAGGAAGAGCCGACACAAGAGTGGGAATAGTGAAAAACACACACGACAGCTAACACCACCTATTTTAGCACAAACACCAATCCCTCAAACATTCAGTTTGATCATTTCTGACAAATATAAGTTGTTTCTAAAAATATATGTAAATGAAATCCTCACCATTCCTTCCCATGCTCACCGAGCCCCTCGCCCTCTTTCCCCAGACGGGCCAGGTTCAGCTTAGTCTCCAGCGTCATGAGGAAGGAGCCTGCGTATGACACCTCCAGGTCAAACCACAGACCTGAACAGGAAAGGAGAAAAGTTGTTACTGGTTACAAACCACGCCGATTGTTTGTTTCTGACTGTTTTTGCTTTAACTGGTTTGAGACGACCAACAGATCCGACAGGAAGATGACCTTTTGCCTTGCAAACACAGAAAAGGTCAGCTCTGATTATCAGCTGATGCAACCAGCAGGCGATGGGATAATAATTCGCTTCTCAATTCCTGCAGTTTGAATCTCAGCTCCTAACATTCATTATTTCCTTTTTGCCCTTCTCCTTTATTGCTCTTATCTAAAGACACCTGATCTGTACAGTATGGATGGAACAGAGCTGCATCTGGGACAGAAGATGGAAACTAAACACCAGAGAGGTAATGGCTGAGTCTGGTATTATTATGAGATGCTGCAGGTGTCAGAAGAAAACCTGGAGTCATTATAAAAGAGCTTGTGTTTGGTTATGAGCTGAACGCCAGTGAAAGTGAATTAAAACCAAACTAACTAGTGTAAATGGTGTTTCTGATGGAAAACGTCCTAAAGTGATTGTGTAGTAGTGATCACATTTCCCAGGTGGTTGTTTTAACTCTTATTTCTTTACGATTTATCTTATTTTCTCACAAGACCATTTAAGTCCCACACTGGAACAACGTCCAGGTCAATGTGAGTCAGACAGGTTTGATTTCATACCAAACTAAATGCTACTTTAGGCCAAAGTCATTTGTAATGTTGTGGACCGGAGATAATTACGGTTGTTTGTTATTTTCTATGGTTAAAGATTTAATCATGGATGCATTCAGAGCGGCCCTAACCCAGAGTCAGGATGTCTGTGATGTTGTGTAAACGTGTCTGCTGGTGATGACGGTGTTGTGTAACTGCTTGAGATTACAGCCAAAGGCACAACCAAGCATTACTGTGCTGCTCACAGACAGATCCAGTTTACAGTCTGTCCGAAGCAGAAAAAAATGAGTTTGAGATTGTTCAAGTAAAATCTCCCAGCTGCCATTGCTCCAGACAAAGGATTAAACTCTCTAAAGAAATCTCTATAAAATCCTCACGCTCTTTATGTTCTGGTTCTGATGAAACAGCATGTGGTCAAAAGGTTCATCTCTGCTTCTGCAGAAAGTAACATTTAGTGAAAATGTTTTGTTTTGGGTGCTTTTCTGAGGTAAGAGTGTCGAGCTGCACATGTCATCAATACAAACCCAGGCCCTTCTGCACATAAATACCACAAAACACGACTCATGTAGAAGTGAGCTACAGCCATTTTGGGGTTTACCTTCGTGGATTAGCTGTGGATGCCATCTTTAATTGGATTGTCTCTAAATGTGAATCAGTTGCATCCAAGTAACCAGTCAGAACTTCCTGAGAGTGTCATTAAAATCCATTCTGAGGTGTATAAAACATTTAACTAAAACTACAGACAAAAAAAAAATTCCCTACCTTTACCAATTAGGAACATGCACTGAAAAAAATGCTCCTTGGAGTGACTTTATTTAATTGTGTATATTGGTTCTAAACAATTAAAATTACTTTCTCTTTCCTTTTACTAATGAACTCTTGTCAAACCAAAGTATTTTACTGACGTGAAAAAATCATGTTGACTCAACATGATTTTTATGAGCTAAAGTAAGTTGATTTTGTTAATGTCATCCAGTTTTAGTTGGACGATAGGAGCTTGGGGCTGGGGTGTCTGTACCCCTATCTGTCTAGACCATGTTGCACATGCTCCCTGTGATTTCCACAGGTGTCCTTCTAGTTGGAGACACTGCTGAATGCTTTTTGAACCTTTGAGCCCATGTTTATGTATTTCTCCATTTTTTGCTCATTACCTGCTTTTTAGGACATATATATATATTTCATTGAATCAATAATACTTTAAATGTGAATTGAACTAAAATAGTAAACAATTGATTTCTTTTAATTTTCAACATTTTAGAAAGAGCATGGCATGCTGGGAAATCTGTTCAATCCAATCTGTCATCAGCGTACTTAATAATAAACACAGTCTTTTTAAGTTACCCTAACCAGAAGGAATCAAGTATAAACCAGCATTACACAGGTTAATCATGCTCGTCTAACAAACGTGATCCAATTACGTAGAAACTACATGTAAGGAATAAGAGACTTAAACCAACAGAGGATTTTTTTCAGTGCAGTCTGTCATTCCTGGTTGTGGTTGAATATGATTGTTTTGATTTAAATTAGTCATGGTTATCACATTTAGTCAATGCAAGGAAATTTAGTACATTTGACTTAGTCAATAAATAGCTCAAGTCTACTTCAATTAATCATGTTTACAAAAGAAACGCATAAAAATTGTGTAACGTCTACTTAACAGTTAAATTCAACAGTTGGCTCCATGAAATTCCCAAACATTGAGTGTTTCTAACGGAACAGCTGATGCAACCCAAACCTCCTTTCTCCCAGATTTTTCAGGGGGCGACCCACTTAAATCAACTGTGAAGTCAACTCATGTAAAAGTTTAAGCTTGCATGTTGCTTTAAGATATTTGGCATCATTTCAGCTCCTGATAAGCTCTGTTTGGTGGTGTTTGTTATTTATCAGGTTTCAAATGACAGTCGTTTGTTTTTGTTTACACTTTACAGCGTGTTCTAAAATGCCGTTCCTTCACAACTCAGTATGGTCTGGGATTAGGGATGTCAGAAAATATCGATATGTCAGTATATTGTGATATTTTGTCCTGTGACTTTATATCAATATTCAAAAGCTGTGTGTCGAGTTTTTAGAATTATTTACATGCAAAGATTTATTTTCTTTTGGTGCAATTCAAACACCGACCACTAGTTGGCAGCAGTGTGCAATGGGCTTTGTTTCTACCACTGAAATGTAAGTCCCCCTATAATGGTTCAGATAACTCATGTTAAACATGTTCAGTATCAGTTTGGACTGTTTATTGATACAATTAACTCAGTCTAAAAAAATTGCTAATATTGTTTGGCTGAATGTATCTCAATGTATCGTGATAAATTGTATCGTCTCCCCTGTATCGTGATACGTATCGTATCGCCAGAATTTCACCAATACATATCCCCATCTGGGATCATCCAGCGATTCATTGTTTGAATTGTTTGAGCGCATCAGGGGTGTGTGAGCCAAAACACTCATCAGGATTGTAGATGGTGTGGAAATGTGACTGACAGGAGAATGACTCTGAACTCCGTCAGCATTCATACGACTTCCTCTTCAATCAGAGCTCAAGAAAACATGAATGCTTTTAAAAATCATACTATTCCTGCTTCACACTGACAGGACTAAAACATGAAAAAACAAGCAACATAAGCGTACAGCATCTCTGTGTTTCCCTAAGCTTATTTACTTTTCCTTCCCATCCAGTTGGAATTACGTCTTAGATCTCTGGACTATTGGCTGAGACTTAAGGGCGAGTCAGCGAATGAAGGGTAACCAAGATGTGAAGTTTAATTACTGTGGCTTAATGCTGCAAGCCTCGCACACAAGGCTAGCCTGCAGAGGAGATGGGGGAGGGGACGTGGTCCTGACCCACTGAGATGACGAGCAAACAGGATGACGAGGATCTGGTTTAAAATAAGAAAAATAGACTAGCAACGCTGTAACATATTTAGTGTCATTTCTTTCCTACCTTGGTGGTCCACCCATGGTTTGGAGGCACGGAGGATCTTAGGAACAGAGAAGCCCATATCTAGCTCGGTCAGGGTGAGCTCATTCATTACATATGGCAGCTGAAACATGGAGGTCAGTTTAAAATGTGAGAAAAGAGCGAGCCTCCTCTCGCGTTAGAGTTGGTTTCCACCAACACTCACCCTGATCTTGCTGAGCTTCATTTGGATCTTTTTGGAGACAATGCTGGCCCAGTACTTCTCTCTCAGGAAGTCCCAGAAGACTCTTCCCAGAAAAGCATTGACCCAAGCTTCGGGCTCCGCCGTGACCTCTGAACTCCTTTGCAACTGAGGGACAAGAGAAAACATGGTATATTTAGATCTGTTAGAAGAAATTCTTGTGTTCTGATTAGGGTTCCCCACACTCTTTTGGGGCCCCTCGTGACCTGACACTAGCACAAAAGGGTAACCATGACAAAGAAGGCACTCCACAAGAGCTGACCACACTGTTTGTTACTTGACTTAATTTAGCTATAAGTGATGACAGTTATATTGAAAACTGGAATAATTTCCCAAATTAATCATGCAACCAATCAGTCTGTCTACATCTGGTCATCACTCCATCTGACATGTCCCCCCTCAACGGTTGCAGGAGGGTCTGGATCAGAGCCGTCACTGGGCCGCCTGTCCATTTCAGGGAGAAGATAAAAAGAGACAAACGTGCAACCCACCATCAAATTTAGAAAATACACAATAACTGGATGAGACATCTTCTGTTGCTGCTGTGTGGATTTTGAAGGGGCTGTGGAGTGAAGATAATCTGCTGCACACAATCATCATGTTTGTAAACAACAAATAACTAAACAGATAGGGGGAAATTACGACTCAGTGGCCTAGTGGTAGAGTGTCCGCCCTGAGATCAGGAGATCAGGGGTTTGACTCCTGGTCGGGTCATACCAAAGACTTTGAAAAAATGGGACCCAATGCCTCCCTGCTTGACACTCAGCATTAAGGGGTTGGATTGGGGGGTTAAACCACCAAATAGTTCCCGAGCGCGGCTTGTCTGCAGCTCACCGCTCCCCCAGGGGATGGATCAAATGCGGAGAATAAATTTCACCACACACCTGTGTGTGTGTGTGACGACTAAATGGGACTTTAATCTTTAATCTTAATCTTTAAATTAATATTTGATCATATAGCAAGGTACAAAATGTGTCAATATGGTTTAAAATCTGTAAGCAAATATCTAAGTTGTAATTTTATTTATGGTTATAAAAATGTGCTCTTTACTCACATGAAGGCGCGTGATTTAAACCAATACTGCAGTGAGCCACTAGGGGGCGTTTAGATAGATTTTTGCTAAATATCCTTATACTTCTTCCGGGCCAATCCCAATACTCACACTGCTCCCTGGTCTTCAGCAAAGTGCACTATTGGAGAAAGTGTGCAGTAAGGCATCGAGTGCGTAGTACACAAGTGTGTAAATAATTGCTGAGTTGAGACAGGGAGCATCCCGGGATGCTGGTCGCTGTGATACTTAAAAAAAACTTCATTAACAGCTTTCAAACAAACAATCGGACAATTATTTGAAATCATTTTACATTCATTGCTGCTTTGTCTAAAAGTTCTAGAGCATCAACTAATTGTCCTAAAATGGACAACTTTCATTAGAAAATACATTTGTTCAGAAAAGGCACTTGAGCCTGTTCTCCTGCAGCAACGGATTTTGGGCAATACTCACCCAAATCCACATCAGTGCAGACTTGGGTGAAGTGCGGATCAAGGGCGCAAAAGGGGCGTGATCAACTGTGAGTCGAGACACCCTACGTACTTGCACCCCTGGTCGGGATCGTGCATTTGAAGGGCACAAGGGTAGGAGTATTGGGATTGGGCCTCTGTCTGATCATTGTAAATGTTGATTATTTAAACACATAAACAGAACAGTCCAGACACAGAAAGCACATTCTAGATGTGAGCAACACTACCCCCTAATCGCCTTGGAAACCAACTTCATTAATAAGTGACCTACTTGACTACAAATGCACACACGTACCTTATATCTGCAGTTTTGGTTACTTTGGCATTGAAAGATCACTCTGAAGTAAATCAACACCGTGAAAAAGAACCACTTCTCACTTTTGTGCTGCAACAGCAAGCAGGCATTTCTTAGCTAAAACAAGGCTAAATGCTTTTAGCTAGGCCTCTTTTGTAAAAAGGGAAATGATGCCTGTTTGAAAGTGTGAAGACAAGTCAGTCTGATTATTTGTAGATCTGGAGACACATATTTGTCAAAAGCAGGTGCAGGAGCCCAAGGACCATGTGTCTCTGTTAGCTCTTGTTTAGCAGAACCACCACCAGCAAATGATAAACCAGTTCAGACATAACCCCGTTACTCCTCCAGTAGACGAACTCCATGCATGACATGAAAGTTTACACGTAAACCAGAGGATCGATTCTAACGCAGAAGCCTTCGTCCATGGCTGACATCTGTCTCGTACCTTTTTGGTAGCTTTGGGGCTTCCCTCAGGGCTGTGCCCAGGGCTGTCAGTGGCACTCGGGCTTCTCGGAGGGGTCTGAGGGTTAACATATTTGGCCATGTAGACATTATAGTCCAGCAGCATCTTCTGCTTCGCCCCTCCAGCATGTGAGAGAGGAGCGGAGGTCTCTCTGCGTCGCGGCTGAGACAGCTCCTCCTGGCTTCCCCGGCTGCTGCTCCTGCTGTCAGCCTCCAGGACGCTGGCAGATGCGGCACTGCCACTGCGGCTGTGAGAGGGCAAGAAGGCTGGAAGGAGTGGGGGGAGCAGGGTGAGGAGGACAGAGGGGGTTAGGGGTCGTACAAATTATGCATGAACAAGATCCTAATCAATCCATCATTTCGTACACGAAGCAAGGGTTTGGGCGCCGTGGATAATTAGCATCTCCTTTGTATTCAGTTGTCAGTGAACTGCAGTGCTGAACGTAGTTAGCATAATTGTAGTGCAGGTTAGCGAAGCAGCTTGCTAAGCAAACCATTTGAACAGTAATCCTGTCCACCTTGTACTGCTTTTATCAGTGGACCCACACACTTCCTGTTCCCTTTCATATAAGGTCTCTTCCCCCGGGGCTTATATCCCCATGTGAGAACCGGTGCTATGACATGCTGCCTCTCTGTGCTTGTAATCCTGCTGACCCTTTCACACTCAGCTCACTGGCGGTCCTTAAGCTGAGGTTTATGCACGGATCTGATTGGTTATTCCGCCTGAGCAAATAAACGTGGACGGAAAGGGCGGGCCACATGCTTGTTTGCACCTGAAGCGGTGATTGTGTTTGTAACGCGTCTGAAGCTCACCACACTTGAAGATGCTAGACAGGCTGCCACCTCTCCCCTCTGACTTCACTTGTGATGCTTGAAGAAATCTCCGAAACCACTCTTCCTTTTCCCGACCGGTCCTCCCAAACAAATAGATTGTCAGATCCGCTCTTCCAGAAGCTGGGCGCTTGGCTTCCTCCGCTGAGGCTGAGCCTTCTGGTTTCTCAGCCTTCTCTGTTCGCTCCACCTTCTCTCCCAGCCCAGCAGCTTTGTCTTCTCCAGATTCAGATTTTTCTCCTTGCGCCTTGGACATGAAGTCATCCTGTTTGGCCAGTTCAATGCAGATGGGATACTTCTTGTTCCAAACTCTCTTCCTGGCCAGGCTTTGGGGCATCAAGTAGATCTGCGGGTTCACAAGATCAGCAATACAGAAAAGTTATAAAAGCAAACATGAAATTCAGTTGAATTTATGCCCATTCCACCCAAGTTTTATTTTCTTTCAATTAAAACAAGCGCAGTACTTTAACCTGCCCTTTGTTTTCTAAGAACAACGTGTGTGGTCCTGCCTAACATCCGACTCACTTTTGACTAAACCTTTGAAGAGATATTATGACACTCTCCAAATAAATTAAAAAGTATAAATTATAAATAATTGGTGAACAGTGTCTGCATGCATCCACTCCATAATGCACACCCTTAAAGGTCTTCACAAGGCGAACCGAACCAGACTTTATTCTGCATCCTGGTTTGATCATTGCTCTACAGTTCTTACTTTTGACACTGTTGTGGGATTAATGCAGCATTCTTGTGAAGATTTATTTTTCTGATGCCTTTTCAGTCATGTTTGTAGTTTTTTACACTCTGGACCTGTTCTTGGTGGATTTGCAGTGGTGCCCTGCCTCCAACATGCCTCCATCTAAAAGGCTAGGTTATCCAGAGTTATCTCTGTAGTTATGCTGCTATAGGCCTAGACTGCTGGAGGACATACTGACCACTTTCCACACTCTACTGCTTTCTTCTACAATTTGCTCTTTAACTGTATTATTTCCTGCAATTTCAGCCGTTAATTATTTTTCTAAGTGTTTTTCTCCCCAGAAGAAGCTACAATGATGTTCTGCTGAGCTGTGGTAGCCTCATGGAGGGGGCCATCGTCTAGCACACTGTTGCTAACCACTTAAACATTCTCCCTCTTCTGACAATAACATTTTACTTTCTTTGACATTGAATGTGCTACTACTAGTTTACCTGTTTAATTTTAGATTCACTAGAATAAATACAATAAAGTTTATCTCTCACTAAATAGAATATTTACTAAGAAATCACAATGTAACCATAGAAACACTACTTGGTATATATGTTGTTTGTGTGTGTGTGTGTGTGTGTGTGTGTGTGTGTGTGTGTGTGTGTGTGGGCTGGTGTTGGTGTGTGCGTGTGTGTGTGTGTGTCTGCTCTGTCTTCTCGATCCCCAGTGAGTCATGGTGGATGGCTGCTTATGCTGAGCCAGGATCCTCTGGAGGTTTCTTCCTGTTAAAAGGGAGTTTTCCTCTCCACTGTCGCTAAATGCTTGCTTAGTATGAGGATTTTTGTAAAGACTCTGACACTAGTCAGACTTGATGCAATCTGCTGGGTTCCTTATATAGGAAACCTTATATTGGAATTGACCTGTACTGGAATGTTTATTATGTGAAGTGCCTTGAGATGATTTGTGTCGTGATTTGGCGCTATATAAATAAACTTGAATTGAAATTGAATTGCCATCATTTCCTGTTTTGCTCTGTCGCCTCATCACAATCCATAATAATCATGCACCATGTCCTTATTATGTAATCCCCTCTCCCAGTATACCTAGTCCTCGATTTCTCGGTCAGATCTTCTGTTTCCTGCTGATTAGTGTGTCACTGATCCGTTCCCAGTCCACATTAAACCCTTTTGGACAAAACCAGCCTGCTGAAACCGTGGGTCCACTTCAGCTACTTACCTACATATTTACACATTACACAGGTTTCTTTTTGTTGTGTCCAAACTCTTTAGAAATGTTTTCAAATCTTTTTTTTAAGCTCAAGAAGTTTTTACAACTCAAAGATATATTATTAAAATCAACTTTAGAGGTGTGGAACACTCATTAGCAGTGGTCTAGTTGGAATGAATGCTTTGTGAGTCGTACTTGGGGAAAAAGAGCTCCAGTGTGCCTGTTTCAGGAACTAGAAAACTGCCACATCAAAGGAAACCTTCGAACAACTTTTCTGGACTTTTATTTCCTGATATTTGGACATCTCACCTCTGATTGGCTAACAGCAAAGTAACTCTGATTTGCAATGTTGATGTTTTATCTCCACAAATAACAGTCTGGAGGAGTTCTGCCATGTGGTGGAGTGGCTAATGCTAACAGCTGTTTCCTGGACACAAAAACAACAGACTTCTTAGTTGTGGGTGAGTCCATGAATGTTAAGTGACAGTGTAGCGTAGATCTGTCAGGATTTTCAAATCCTAGAGTTTCACCATCTATTTTCAGAAGCTAACGCAGGAGATGGGTGTAGGAGACTATTTTCATGTTCAGCCTGCATGAAACACTCAGTGAATGATTATAATCAGAAATAATCTTTAAAAATGTTTTTTTGGTGAACCAGACCACTTCAATATATTTTTCAATTTCAAACAAAACAACACACATGCAGGAAAACACCAGGAGTGCTTCCATAACCCTCTCACCCTGCTGTCAGTCAGGTCGTAGATCTTCTGGCTGATGTAAGTGATGTCAGGTTTGGGCTCGTTGTGCGCGGCGCGGCGGGAAATGTTCCGGTTGGGTTTGGACAGACGGAGGACAGAACCTTCCAACCGGACGTAAACAGAGTGGGTCAGGGTGGCGTGGTACATCTCCGGGTCGTAGCTGTGGATCTCATTCATCCAGCCCTGAAAGACAGGCGGGAGGAGAAATCAACCTTTTCCATTGGGTGGTTGAGTTTTAACTTGAATTTGTAGAAGCAGCAAAAATATGAGTTTTCTTGTTTTAAGAGGAGCTCCAGATTCTCAAGATAAATTTCATCTCGTTTCATGTAAACAGAGACTTGCCTTAATTATTTTAGGATTATTTAACTCATAAACACACAGAGTTTTTCCACAAAAATGATTAATAAGTGATGAAGAAATTAAAAATGAAAATAAAATCAGAAAAGACAAAGTCTTGTAGTGAATTCGGTGGTCTGGTGTGGCAGCTGGTGCTTCTATGGCGTTAGCAGATGAACAGTCTGTCTGTCTGGTGGGTTTGGTTTTTCACAATCCTTTGGACTGACTACCTGGCCTTCACCCTCACAGAAATAAGACACATGTTTAAAAAATGTGAAATAACAGAACCACTAGTGTGTGAATGGTTGTGTTGTAAAGCACCTTGGGGGGTTGTAGAACACTAGCATTAAGAGCTGTTTCCATTTAAAACATATCTAATAGATGAGGATGTCAAAAACACTGGAGCATAAAAAATTTTTTTGAGCAAAACATTAAAAAAAATCTAATTTAATTTCTTCTAATAAATGAAACTCATCATGTAAATATTTCAAATGACCTGCTAATGTTTTTGAAGAAACTTGTAAAAGATTATGGAACTAATATTATAAATGACCCCACAGTCACACATCGCTACTGTTGACTAAGAAGTCTGATGTGTGTGTTTATCGTGTATATTCATGTATAGGTTTCTTGTGTTTTAAGTGTTTTTTTTTTACTCCAAATTCCTTTTTTCCCATTGAAAATTTTATGAATGGAGCACTTTTAATCATACATCATGAAATACTGGAAAAAACACAAAAATGTTGGAAAAACAAGCCCTGATAAAAGCTACATTTGCTCTTAGAGCAGGGGTGTCAAACTCATTTTAGCTCAGGGGCCACACTGAGGGAAATCTAGTCCCAAGTGGGCCGGACCGGTAAATAAAAAAAAAACTTCAGATTGTTTTCTTTGTTTTAATACAATCAATATAAAACAAGGCTGGAGCCTGAGGACAGTGTAGTACAAGTACAACACCTGAAGTGTACTTGAAAATTTGAAATTTTTTTTAAAAAATCAACAAATAAAAAAACATTCCTTGGTGATTCAAAGAGCTTACAGATCACATGGCTAGATCAGTTTCATGCAGCACTTAAAGTATTTTTGACTCATTTTACTTTACATCTTTTAGCTTTCACCAGCACATCAGTATCAGAAGTCACATCCTGAGTGGCAGCCAACTTCAGGATGTGATTCAAGTTCTTGTGTGAGCCTTGAGCGCAGCTTTGTTTTATTTATACTCGTTACAGAGGAAACTTGCTCACAATGATAAGTTTATTTTCACTCTACATTGTAAAGTATGAAAATAAAGTTTACACAACCATCTCGCGGGCCGGATTTAACCCACTTGCGGGCCGGATCCGGCCCGCGGGCCGCATGTTTGACACCCCTGTCTTAGAGCCTTAAATGTGACATGTCATTAGTATGAAATCCCAATGAAATTTGGAAACAGAAACATAAAAACGGCCCAAAACTCCTCAATGAGATTCAAACGGAAAGACAAAAGCAGAGAAGGCAGGAAGAAAAAAGGGCGGTGAGTTTGTCCCTGCTGTTTATCTTCTCGTGCTCGCTGCAGGGTCGCTCATTCCTGAGCACGTATCCCGTTCTGTAAAAGTGCAGAGCTTCTTTTTGGGAGCAGCTGTGCCCTTTAGCCACGAGGCCTCCTGCTGCAGCAGCTCAGTACCTGCACACGTTTATATAACTCCGTCAACGTTTCTCTACTCCGTCTCTGCAACCTTCAGGGCTGAAAGGCATAAAAGTGGTGCAACGTGTAAAAGAAAGGGACAACTGGTGCTAGTGATGAAGAAGAGGTGTCATTTAGCCCCGTGAGTTTACGGTTTACCTGTGAAGAACACGTTGTTTTAAAGTCTCCAACACATTATGGTGTCCAGTTCTAATCTTGGCTTTTGGCTTAAAACTAACTAGAAGGTGGTCGTTTATACAAAACACAGTAAGATGGAGGGGTCATCTAAGGTCACACATGGGCTACCTTCATTCTGGAAGTTCATATCTAATGTTTCTGGACTAAAATAGTTTATTTCCCAGGTTAAATGAGGTCAGTGGTGTCGCTGTCAGAAACAGTCACCGAATCAATACTAGAAAAATGACTGTGTGGCCTTTTTACACTGGAAGCCACAGTCTGACACAACTGTCAGCTCAGAAGGACTCTCTGTTATGACAGCAGAGGCATTTTGCAACCAATGAAGCTAACTATGCTAAAACGCATCAAAATGAAGAAGAAATAAAAACACTAAAGTGTCTTCCGGCATAACAAAGCTGCATTTTCAAACAAGTGAAACGGAGCGGGCGTGTATTTCTGGAGGAGGCTGTGATGCTCGGCGGTACAGTGGGAAGTGTTTTGTGCTCATGTTTCTGTTTATTCACCAACTCCAATCTACACATCCCGTGTTGCGATTCGTCTCACCTTAAATATTTCCGGCTCCTTGACTTCTACCTCAACGTTTTGCTGCGCTCTCCTCCTCCTCACCAGTCTGGTCCCTTGGGAAGAGGACAGCCACAGGACCAGCAAGGCCAGCATGAACCCAGCTACAATCCCATGAACCACAGAACAGACACATGGAGGCACTGGAAGGACTAAATACCAATACACTAACTGTGCTAAGAGGACAAGACCAGTAACAGGAACGTTCTCCACTTCCTCCTCCACCCTCTCGTCCTCTATGTCCAGTTCACTACACAAACCAGTGCTGCCGGTATAGGGCTGCTGTGAAATGGATCGTTCCCCATCTGGTGTCTCTGTGTCAGTGCACAACTCGAAGTCCTCGCTGCAGAGTTCACAGAAGTCCTCGTCCTCCTGTCGGGCGGCGAGAGCCGACATGGAGCAGCGTCCCAGGGTGAGAGACGGAGACTTGTAGAGAGCAGGCGACGAGGTCTGATTGAGAGCTGGAGCTAGCGATAGTGAAGGGAAAGAGAAAATAGTTGAGTCGTGACCTTTATCCGTAGGGGTTTCTTCCTCTTCCTCCCCTTCAGTCACTTCCTCCTTGATGCTATAGTTGTTGGCATCTGTGTGTCCATTTACGGCTAATACCCCACTGAGCTCTGACGCACTGGAAGAGAGGGATCTAGCACGATGGGCAGCACTTCCAGCAGCTCCCACACCAGACTCATCCCCCATGATCTTACTGAAAAGCTGCAAGGGGTCTGACATCACTTCTGACAAACGCCTCCTGGTGTCCTCTATCTTGGCCTCCACTTCTTGGACTTTGAAGAAGGACCTCCCATCTGGAGACATAATTGGGGAGGACGGAGCCGTTTTGGAGTCTCCTCCTGCTTGCGTGACAACGATGGGACTGGAGGATAAGCGGGGTTGGGAGAACTGCTTGAACAGCTGCATGTTGCGAGGTGGAGTCCTGTGGGGTGTGTGTACCGGCTGATGCTGAGGATGAAAAGCCCCTTCCTGGTGGTCGGCCTTGGAAGTGTCCGTGGATAGAGACCTAACAAAAGATTTCATTAAGTGTCTGTGTCGTGCATGCGGTGGTGCGGCAGCGGTAACCGCAGGAGCAGTTTCTCGAGAGTCAACATCATTTGACAAAGACCTAACGAGGCTGAGAAAAGGCTTGGAGGATGACAGTGCTCCTGACTTGCACGGTGAAGAGGAGCTGGAGCTTGTTGTTGGGGGTAGGATTGGTCGATCAGACGGCCAGGAGGAGCTGGTTGGAGGGGTGGAGCTCAGGTGGGAGTGGGCAGAGACAGAGGCAGCAGACATAGCACTGGACGGTGGGAGCGGATGGGGGTCAAACAAGGTGGTGGCAGATATGGGCAGTGGGGCAGCTCCAGAGAAGATCTCCACATTGGAAGCTTCAAATGTTAGCTCCTCCTTTGCCTCCAGGCCTTTGGAGACATACAGGTCATCAGGTCCTGTTCCTTGAGGTCCTGCCACACCATCAGGAACAGATTTAGCAGGAGCAGATCCAACAGGTATCCCATAAAGCTCCTCATCGTCATCTTCCTCCTCCTTCCCCAGAGCAGAGAAATGTATGGTGATGGTATCACGGGAGTGGGAGCGCTGCACCTGCAGCTTGGGTCCAGAGGGGTGACGTGGGGGTGGGGTGTCAGCATGCTGGCCCCCTCCTTTTCTGCCGCTGCCCTGAGTGCTCATCATCACCCGGCACAGGGCTCACAGCCTGGAAAAGACAAGGAGACAAAAACAGTTAATGGGGACAGGATCTGTGGAAAAAGTCTTCTACCTCTATTCATGTGAGTCAGCTGGACAGGCAAGTCCGTGTCCCTCGACTTATTAGTCCTGATTATGTAAGCATGACTCTAGCAGGCTGGGCCAGGTCTCTTCCTGTCTTACTCACACACCTCAGTCATTTACATCCCGTTGACGCCATGATTAATGGTTGCTTCAGAACACGCTAGCTTTAAGGAGAGTTCACCGGCTGCTGCTCAAAACAGGAAAGCAACTAGAAGAGGACCTTTTTAGATGGTTTCACGGTTTGCAATTATCTGGTGATGCACTAGTCCTTTATCCAAACATTTTCTGTCTGCTGTAAGGATAGACTAAACACCAACCCAAAGACCACAAAGAGAAAAATACACACTTCCCTTCAGTTCCAACTTTGTATAAACCACATTTGGTTCTTCAAAAACCAAAACCAAAACTGACTTAAATTTAGAAATTCACAAATCAAGAATTAAAGGTCTCATTCACTCGTTTTATTATTATTATTATTATTATTATTATTATTATTATTATTATTATTATTATTATTATTATTATTATTATTAAATAAAATAGCAGAAAACAGCTGAATTTGGGGTCTTAAGTCATTAAAATTCATAATATCCAAACATCTCACCTCTGATTGGCTAATAGCAATGTGACTCTTCCACTGCCAGGGCCTCTGTTTGTTTTTCTTTTTGGTTAAAAAAACGCACTGTTGATGTTTTCTCTCCACAGATACCACAAGAAGGAACATGGTCTGGCATGTTGTTGATTTGCTAATGCTAATGGTTAGCATCTACTAGCTGAGACACGCTCTACTCTCTCCTGGATGATAAATCTTTCTTCCGTGGTTGCAACCCAAGACGGGTGTGTAGCGTCATGAAGGGACTGTTTTCCTTTCTCCTCAGGAAGAACTTATCTCCTTGATTGCTCAAGGCCTTTGATGCCTCTGCATCTAAACTGTTTTAATTAGCTATTTGCCTCCCCCTACAGCTCAAGAGAAGAAAGAAGACCAAGAACTCTTTTCTCTATTAAATAATGATCAAACAACTTTGTTAGTCCAAATAATCGTGTAAAGCTCAATGTTAAATCAATCTGTGAAATGACAATATTAATTACTTGATATTATAATCCTATGACAGTATTTTAATAGGTAATTAAATTTAAACTACACACTAGACTGATCACACGTAATGTTAAAATCACATGACACATTCCTTTGTCTCTCCAATCAGAGCTTTCCTTTCTGACGCGTGGCATAATCTGTGCAGTGTTTATATTTGTGTCCAATTTTGATTCGACCATAAATCAAAACATCTGAATTATAAAACTAACTCCCACGTCATCCTTAACTCAGTTCAAACGTTCTAGAGTTGCGAGCCGGCCACTCGAAACTTTTTAACCACAAAGAACCTTGACCAGCTGGATAATAAAACCTGTTACAAGCTCCACCTGAAGCAACGCTCCTTCAGAGTAAAAGCTGAACTCACTGACCCTTCAGGGTCCTGCTGATGCTGTCAAACAACTGCCGCTTACCTGGAGGCAATCCCAAGACTAGTCTGTCGTACCGTACGCTGTTTCATCGGCTCAGGTACCAAAAGGGGGGTCTGAGAACCTGGCATTCTGGATCTACAACGAAGGTCTCCGCAAGGGTATGTAGCGTGGCAAGATAACATCTGAATGTGGTTTTTGATACTCCAACTATAGTTTAGAGCAAAACATTCGCTCCCACACAGAACTAACGATTGTCCGGAAACGAGAGTTCTGATAACAACATTCCACATTTACACCATTCATCTTGCCTCATTCACAACTAGATCCATTCATCACATAGAGTGTTTAGAGTTAGAGTTAGCCTTATTTTAAATTGTTTAGAAATAAATCTTCTTAAACTTTAAAACTTGTCTCTCTCTCTTTTGACTCTGGGTTATTACGAAGTGTTACCTAATCCCTGCAATAAAAAGTTCCGATCTTCTGTTTAAATCTTCTGTATTCAAAGATACATCAAATTGATTCCATATTTTCTATGGAATCTCACCTTTGATGGTTTCCTACGTAAGATGTAACTATTGATCCAGTACAGGTGAGTCCATGAAAGTACATTTTTTGGTGTGATGTTTGACCTTTTTTGACCCAGGCGTTTTCTGTGGCTAATGCAGAAAATAGAGGTAGAAGATTTTATGTCCTGCATGTACGTGAAACTCAGCAAACCTTCGTCTTTACCTCATCCACAAGTCGGTTGCAGCTCTCTAAAACTGAGAACTGGGAACATCTAATGATCTGGCACTATTATGAGGTCTGAAGACACAACTGTCTGCTGTGAATTTGGTTTCCACCAAAGTTGCTCTGATTCTTGCAAACGTAACCATTCTTCAAGTCCAACCATTTGAACGAGTGTCTCCTTCATTGAAACTTTCAGCCTCCGTAACTGTGTTGAGTGGCATGACAGTTTATTTTTACATTATATTAAATCCTTCATTAGATCTTGCACTAAAAAATGTTCATTCACTAAAAAAGTAAGAAAAATAAATCACTGCAGTGTTTAAATTAGAGCGACGAAGCATCTGTTGTTTAACTTTACCAGATGAAAAGAAACATTCATCTTGAGTGGTGTAGTGTGTTGAAACAGCATTAACATTCAGATCGTATAGAGTTCATCTAAGGTACGTATGTTCTTACTGTGTCCAGTTTCTAATTCCATTTTTAGTTCATTTTTAAAACACAGAAAAGGCTTTTTTACCTTGCTGACAGTTTCATTTGCCGACTGCAAAACATACTCAGAGCTGACGCTGTGGCGTCACTTCCGTCACTTCCGTCTCTGTTTATCCGCGGGCAGCAGCGGACGTTGTCGCCCTCTGCTGCCCGCTCTCCCCTCACCAATGATGCAGTCCCATTCACGATCCAACGTGTAAACTCCATCGTCCCTGTTCATGGTCCCACATCCACATCTCCTTATCTCGATAGCTTCCTTTATCCATCTTTTGTATTTCTGTTGTTCGGTGTTTATGATCCTTGTGTTGTCCCAGTCCATTTTATGGGTTTCTCTTGTGCGGTGATCTGTTACGGCTGACTTCTTTATTGTACTTTCTGCTTCTTCTTTTGCTGCTCTTGTGTGTTTTCGACTTGTTTGGGATTTTTCGCGGAGGGGGACAGCGTCCTCTGCTGCCTGCGGACAAACGGAGTAGGAAGTGACGCCACCATCAGCGTCAGCTCTGAGGAAGTTTTGTAGTCGGCAAACGAAACTGTCAGCAAGGTAAATAAACCTTTTCTGTGTTTTAAAAATGAACTAAAAATGTATAGAGTTCATCATCCCTGGTTAGCATGACCAGTCACACACACACACACACACACACACACACACACACACACACACACACACACACACACACACACACACGCACACGCACGCACACACACACACACGCACACACGTTAAATAAAGCCTAGGAGGCTTGTAGGCTTTTGGGATGAAGATAAAAATGGCCCATAATGGAGGAAGGAGGGATGGAAGGAAACAACACGGCAGTTAGTTTGTGTGATTGTTGGTGTTTCTCAGAGAGCCTCAGAACCCCCTCGGGGCTCTCTGGTTGGTGCTGCATCTCCAGAGATTGTATTTAGCCTGGAAGAAATAACAGAGCATTTGACTTTCCCTTCAACCTTCCATTCTATCGTGACACAATGGGTTTTCCCTCAGTGTGTGTGTGTGTGTGCTAGGGGCAGAGCTGATGGAAGGAAGACAAGAAGGGGAAAAACATTCAGAAAATACAACAAAAAGCAGGATGAAAAAGCCACAGGGCACCAGCGGACCTTTCACAGACAAGCTTTTGAAGGAAATTCTCTTAAAGACCAGTGGAATTGCAGGGAGGGAGACAAAAATGAGTAAAAAGAAGGACATGAAAGACAAAGAACCAGACAAATGAGCGGGGAGATGGGAACACGGAGATGGAGGTGGTTGGTTTTAAGCCTGAAGCTTGAAGGACATTTTTAAAAGACTGTGAAGGTCGGCGGGGTGAGCAGAGAGAGCTGGCTCTAAGCTTTCTGTTTAGCAGCCAAAACACAAATGAGACGCATCATCACACTCTGAATCAATGCAAATGAGGTGTCTGATTAATGCTATAAATAAAAAAGGATTTGAATCACAAATCTGAATATCTGAGCAGATTTTGGTTTCATGTTATAATTTTTCTTACAGATCATCTGATTTCATAACAGAGAAATGGTCACTGTTAGTTCTGTCGTCAGCGCTCTACCTTTGTTCTGAAGTGTTAGTAGGATAGAGGTGAGAGGAGACGAGACTGGCGCTGAGACAAGACTCATCCAATTAATCAAAGCGAGCAGCGCTACTCTAATCAGCCAGGGCCAGACTCCTCTGACATGGGAGGGGGTTAAAAGCAGAAAGGTAAAATTATGAAATACAAGCATGAACAGACAGGAAAACTGCAGCTGGAGAGAACTGGGAGGTCAAGCACTCAGAAGTCCTGTCTGTCTCCCAAGATCTCATTTGAAAACAAACATCTAAATGTATGCTTCACAACTGGCCACAGACAGGGAAAATAAAACTGGTGCAGAGGAGAGATTTATGGAGCTGCCCTCAGTGGGTTGTGTCTCAGCTCTCAGCTATCCAAATCAAGTCGCTTACCCAGTTTTTCTGAGCGCTGTTGACTGATTTACCACACAACGCTGAGCCTACGAGCATTTGCCTTTACTTTATGTATTTTCTTAATTACACAAGAAGACATTAGTGAGGGGCTGACATCCCAAAAATGTGTCATCGTCACAATGTGTGCAGTAACAAGGCCTGAACCCAGGACTAAAACATTATTTCATGGATAAAGCCTCCTGTGGTTTTTGACATCAGGTTTTATCAGCCTAGACACATCACTTCCTTTAGAGCCCTCCATAATAAGAGCCCCAGGAAAATGTACACGCTTAAAAATGATCTCATGGCATTTTAAG